CAGTGAGCGCTTACAGTGCTACATTCGTTCGTCGAAACATCTCAACTGGTATTCAGTCAATTCCTGGAGCCTTGTTTTTCGCCAGTGCCTTCAGTGCAGCTTGGACCTCTTCTTTCAGTACCATTGGTTCTTGATCATATCCTACCTCGTGAAATGGTTGAAATGTCTTCCAGTTCTTTTTGGTACAGTGATTCTGTGTATTCCTTCTATCTTCTTTTGATACTTTCTGCGTTGTTTAATATTTTCCCCATAGAATCCTTCAATATTGCACCTTGAGGCCTGAATTTTTTCTTCAGTTCATTCAGCTTGAGAAACGCCAATTTCCCTTTTGGGTTTTTATCTCCACCTCTTTGCACATTTCATTATAATACTTTGTCTTCTCAAGTCACCCTTTGAAATCTTCTGTTCAGCTCTTTTACTCCATCATTTCTTCCTTTTGCTTTAGCTACTTGACATTCAAGAGCAAGCTTCAGAGTCTCTTCTGACAACCATTCTGGTCTTTTCTTTCCTTCCTGTCTTTTTAATGACCTTTTGCTTTCTTCATGTCTGATGTCCTTGATGTCATTCCACAACTCATCTGGTCTTCGGTCATTAGTCTTCAACGCATCAAATCTATTCTTGAGATGGTCTCTAAATTCAGGTGGAATATACTCAAGGTTGTACTTTGGCTCTCATCGACTTGTTCTAATTTTCTTCAACTTCAGCTTGAACTTGCATATGAGCAGTTGACAGTCTGTTCCATAATCAGCCCCTGGCCTTGTTCTGACTGATGATATTGAGCTTTTTCCATTGTCTCTTCCCACAGATGTAGTCAATTTGATTCCTGTGTATTACATCTGGTGAGGTCCATGTGTATAGTCACCATCTATGTTGTTGAAAAAAGGTATTTGCAATGAAGAAGTTGTTGGTCTTGCAAAATTCTGTCATGTGATCTCCGGAGTCATTTCTATCACAAAGATAATATTTTATAATTACCAATCCTTCTTTGTTTCCAACTTTCACATTCCAATCACCAGGAATCACCAATGCCATGTGGATTGCATGTTTGATCAATTTCAGACTGCAGAAGTTGGTAAAAATCTTTGATTTCTTCATCTTTGGCATTAGTGGTTGGTGCGTAAATGTGAATAATAATCATATTAACCGGTCTTCCTTGTAGGCATATGGATATTATCCTATCACTGACAGCGTTGTACGTCAGGACAGATCCTGAAATGTTCTTTTTGACAATGATCGTGACGCCATTCCTCTTCAATCTGTCATTCCCAGCATAGTAGACCATATATACATATGACTGTCCAATTCAAAATGGCAATACCAGTCCATTTTAGCTTACTAATGCCTAGGATATCAATGTTTACACATTCCATTTCATTTTTGATGACTTCCAATTTGCCTAGATTCATACTTCATACATCCCTGTTCTGATTATTAATAGATATTTGCAGCTGTTTCTTATTTGGAATTGTGCCACATCAGCAAATGAAGGTCCTGAAAGCTTGACTCTATTCACGTCATTAAGGTTGACTCTACTTTGAAGAAGCAGCTCTTCCCCAGTCATCTTTTGAGTGCCTTCCAACCTGAGGGACTCATCTCCTGGCACTGTATCAGACAATGTTTCACTGCTATTAGTAAGGTTTTCACTGGCTGATTTTTTCAGAAGTAGACTGTCAGGTCCTTCTTCCTAGTCTGTCTTAGTCTGGAAGCTCAGCTGAAACCTGTCCACCAAGGGTGATTCTGTTGGTATTTGAAATACTGGTGACAAAGCTTACAGTATCACAGCAACACGTAAGCCACCACAGTACGACAAATACATAAGATAAAGAAGATACTGATGGCAACACTGTTGTGGAAAAAATTGTAAACAAAATATATACTCATAATAGGAGAATGGTTTAATTAATTACAGTTCATTAGAATCATGGAATATCATATAGCTTTTGATGAAAATGCAATAGAGCAACTGATCTAGAGATGTGGTGCAGTGAATTGCTTTTATATGGCCCTTCTAGCTATGGTGTCTTAACTTCCACAAAATGATTGGCTGGGACTATGCAAATAAAGTGTGGAAAACTCTTGCAAGGATTGGACAGTGACTCTGAAAATAAGGTGTGTGTGGCCTACTAAAGGGATTGGTTGGTTCTGCCATCCCACTAGGCTCAAAAGAGGCAATCCCACAAAGGTTGAGGAGGACTTCACTATCATCAAGAGTTAGGAGCACATCCTTTGGACACAGGTTTCCCATACTGAGAACCTCCTAGACACAGGTGACAGAGAGAACTGTAACACTGGAGGTGGCACAAGATGGCAGCAGTAGGGGACTGGCAGACAGCCGCAGTGGGCTCGCCGACCCATGAAGTGACAAAGCTGAATGCCTTTGGGCAGGAGGCTTCCTGGCAGAGTAAGGTGCCTCTGGCACTTATCATCGGCAGAGCTAAGAGCTGTAACACTAACCTGAGTAGGGCAGAAGCTAGGCCCAAGCAGGCCTGGTAGCAGTAGACCTGAGCAGGGCCTGGTGGCAGAGGTCGAGAGCAAGGCCTGCCTACCGGTATGGCTTGAGAAGAAGCTGTCCTGATTGAAGAACTGTATCCTGTATCGTGAGTTGTTCCTGTTACTTCCAAGTTAATCCTGATCCTGAGTTGTAGCCTGTTGTTGGTAGGTGCTGTCGAGTCAGTTCTGACTCACAGCGACCCTACAGGACAGAGTAGAACTGCCACAGGGTTTCCAAGGAGTGGCTGGTGGATTTGAACTGCCGACCTTTTGGTTAGCAGCTGAGCTCTTAACCACTACACCACCAGAGCTCCTGTAACCTGTTACTTCTCTAATAAACCCCATAATCGTGAGTATGGTCTTTGAGTTCTGTGTGGCCAGTGCAATGAATTATCGAACCTAGTAGAGAAGTAGAGAGTAACGTGGGGAGGACAGTTGGTGTCAGAACTGGTAAAATGGGTGGAGATTAGAAGCGTGTCTGACCTCCACCTTATAGGAACCAGCCTTGGGCTGATCTTGATTCTCCTCTCCACTTGTAATGTGGAGGTCTCACACTATACCACATTACAAGAGGAATCTGAGTATTTTTGAGAAAAGGAAGATGCAGAAAAGTCTATACAATGTGATTCCACTTTTATATGTGAACATAAAATGTGCATATATATTTTTGATATTAGCATGGAAAAATTACGGAAGGATACCTACATCATTAACATTATCACCTGGTGGTGGATGGAAGGGAGGCTTATAAGACGAACGGAAACAGAGATGAGAAAATAAAAACTGCTTCAGTTCAAAGAGAAGATTGAACACAGGTAGTTAAAATTCCACTAGAAATCACAGTGAAGGAATAAAAACAATACCAAAGGACAGGAATGGGTAACTACTTCAAAACACTTTAAATGGAAAAGTAACTGACAGTAGGAAGAGAAAGCTGAGAGACGGGGCACTATTCTGCCCTAGAGATTGTGTGAGAGAGACTTGACTCTTGAGGCAACAGCATTAGAGAGAAAAGAAAGATAGTGTATTCATAAAGTGAAAACAAGATAGCAAATAAAAAATTCAGAAGGAAAGATTAGCAGATGAAGTAGAGGTTGTTTTACAAAGAACAAAGAGACAAGGAAGCCAAACGTAGGAAGGGAAATAAAAGGACAGCTCTAAGACAGAAATTCTTCCTTGGGTGCATCAGAATCATCGGGGGGTTGAGGGGACGGGCGGAGGGCGGGGGGGGTGTGGGGTGGTGGGGTAGGTGGAAGGGACCTGCCTCCAGAGCTGGATTTAGTAAGTCTGGAGCGGATCCCCAAATCTGTATTTCTTCTATGAGGTCCCAGGTGACTGGGGGGCATACTTTGGGGACCTCAATCTCAGAGTACCAGTATTTGTCTAGAGGTCCAAACACGGACAGCAGAGGGGAGGCGCTTGCCAAAGAATTAATACAAAAAGCATTCCTCGGACTGAAAGTCACACTGCTCCAGATGAAAAGAGCTCATCAAGTGAGGAAAGCAGTAAGTAAAACAGAGCCTCACCCAGGCGCATTTTTGTGAAATGTCTAAATATCAATGATAAAGATCCTAAAAACTTTCAGGGAGGGCGAGAAAAGTTTGCAAGAAAAGAACAAGAATCTGAATGAGCTGTAGACAATAGAATTTCATCAGATTTATCTTTTAAAGAGATTATACTGGCTTCTGTGTAGGGGCTGAATGGGAAGACATCGTCAGAAGGCACTTGTAGTAGTGCAGTGAAGATGGTAGATTGAAACAGGGGTGGTAGAGCCTGAGAGATTTGAGGAAATTTTTAAAAGGAAAAAAAAAAGAACTTGATAATGCTTTGGATCTGGGCATACTGAAGCTAACTTACACAACTACGTATGCTACGAGGGGCCTGGAAGACGATCAGGCTTAGGGACTGAAGAAGCTTGGTAAAGTGAGAGCTTTATAATTCCAGCTGGGACATCCAAGGGGGGATGCTGAACAGGTATTTGGATATTCAGGTCTGCAGCTCAGTAAGTATGGGCCACAGTGCAATTATCCATGCTTAGTCTGTAGATGGCTTTACCTGTAACATATTCCACAGTCCATCTACCATGATTTCATGACAAGAAGGTATTCAAAAGTTGACTTCCAAAACTGGAACACCTTCTGGAACTATGCAATGAAAATATTTTCATCTTTCACTTGCTTAAGTCCTTGAGACAGCTCTAGTGGCCCCTCCACAAGCCCAGTGTGTACAAACTACAGTGCTCCCTGCAACCCACAAGCTCTTGTCCTTACTCAGTGATGTTGGTACCTAAGGTCTGCTTTTCATCTGGGGAAGCAGAGCACCACACACCAAGACTAGATACTGAATCATTCAGGAGTTACCAACTGATAAGACTTGATACAGAAATGTATGGTTTAAAGAATGTAGTTGCATTCCAGCAGCCATGAAATCATTTCTATGAACTCAGTAGTAATTCAAGATTTCTAGGTTCTACCCTGCCTCTTCTCTTCCCAGATGAAGTATGTTCTCACCTGAATTCGAGACCGGGCTAGGTACACATTGGATTTCCATTCAGTCTTCATTTTCCGGTACTGAGATGACTTGGAATGGACAAACTGCTTACTGTAAGGCGCATTCAGTTCTCCAGTGACTGTGCTCTGAAACGACTTTGAGGTGCTGGTGCTATTCAAGGTGTGAGGCCTGCAGACAACCACAGATCAAGAGGGGAAAAAAAAAAAAGGAAAACTGAAGATATCTCTGAATAATGCCCAAAGCCATACTGATTCAATTATTATTGACAGAAACGTACATTGAAAGCTACCTAGCAGCGACAACACAGCGATTTCTCTGACTTAGTCGTGCACATACACAGCCAGAGACAACAGGGTTTGTAAGCAGCAGACAAATCAAGCACAAAAAACCACTAGAAGCCTAGAAACCCTGGGCTGTACTATGTGAAGTTAAAACAAAATACCTTAACACAAACCTCTTGACATGGGTACTCATTTTAGGTTCAGAACGGGCACAACCTGTGGGGTTAACGGCAAGAGGAAGTTCCATGAGAGGATTTCGGCCGTATCGGAAGGTATAGTTTTCACATGCCTCAACCCCAGGTAGCTGAAAAGACAAATGGACAAAAAGTTAACTCATTTCACCAAGACTACTGACAACCCTGAGCTGGCGAAAGGACGGCCTAACTCAAATTTTTACCATTTTCCCTGGTAATAAAACAGTGCCTTTAATTTCTACCTATGTTAATGTAATCAGCTTGCACTCAGATCTATTTGAGTATGCAAATTCAGTTTCAAAATAGAACTTAGTGAACTCTGGCCAATGTTTCTTGGAGAAAAAGATTAACTCACAGAACAGGCACATGCCTACGAACGCACACAGCTGTGTGATTTCCAGATCTGATCACTTCAACATTCACAAACATGGGGAGGGTAGTAACTCATAACTTAGTTCTTTCATCTAGGTTAATGCCAACTTTTGTATCTTTATTGAAAACTTTAATATTAAGTACAGTTAAAAATCATTTATACGGTTTACTTTCTTGATCATTTCTCATGTCTTTCAATTTGACTATGATGTGATGATGCTGTCACTCTCAAATGTTCTGGGGGTATAGGTGGCAGCTTAAGGTTTACTTCTAAAATAATTTTTATTTTAAAGGACTTTTATGAGTCAGAATTGACTCAATGGCAATGGGTTTCATTTTAGTTTTCCAGAATATATTTCTTATAAAATGTATTCTCTATAAACATAACAAATACTTCTCACTTAGGCAAGGTTATACCAAAGGAAGCAATTAGGCATATTACTCAGTGGCTTTTTGGGTATTCTTTGCTTCTCCAAAGAAAACACAGCAATAATTTTTTATTCTTGACAACACTGCCTTATAATCATGTAATTTTCTGAAAGCACTGTGTAGATACAGTTCAGTTAGAATCACTGTCAAACATGCCTGTCATTGTTTAGGCAAAGAGATGTGCTCCTGTACTCCAACTGCACTCCAACTGCACTCCAGTGACTACTAGGCCTGGGAAGAAGGCAGGAGAGTGGCCATAATGACCCAGGCATTAGGGAATGGGCACCCCAACCTTCTGAAGTGCCTGAGAACATTAGAAAGCAAAGAGGGAGAAAGAATATCCTCACCAGTCCCGCATATCAAGGAGACAAAATAATGCTGGTGTCATTCACCCTTGCTTGCCATCAACCTTGAAGAGAACCTGAAACTTGTTAACTACCTCATCAAGTGAACATTAACATTTATTGAGGTCTCCTAACTAATCATGAATTCTTTGCTTTCTTTCAGAGACAGCACTTACTCCATAAGCAAACTCATTACCTGAAAAGTATCATGAATATTACAAAATGTATCGAAATGTGTTAAAGTGGCCACAGGAGAAAAAAGTATTTGTGTAACAAGAAAAGCAATTCAATTTCTTTTTGACCCAACACTTACTGATTCAGCTATGCGCGCCACTGCAGAGACCGTTAATCCGAACAGATCCTCTCCCTTTAAGTACGCTGGGAAAAGCTGCAGCATTTCAGACTTTTTTCTCACACATGCCACAGGCTCCAATATTTTATCCCACACACCTACATATGAACAAAAAATAATTTTTATGCCTTTCTGCTCTTAGCTAAGTGGAGAGAAAACCAGTATGCAGTACAAAATAAGAGAAAAATGAAGAATCACTCACAGACTTACCAGTTTTCAAATCAAAGTTTTTAGGCAGTAATCAAACAAACCTGGTAACACCTGCTTATTAAATGGCAGCAATTTAAAGACTAAACATTTTGGGAAAAGAATATGTTACATTAAGAAATTAAACAGTAAAAGTACAAGAGAAAGTTTAGTACAGTATAACTGAAAATCCATGCAAGTACAGGTAGTCCCCGGGTTATGAACGAGATTCTTTCCTAAGTCTCTTTAAGGCAAGTCTGTAGGTAAGTCAGAACAGGTACACACGGTTCTTATTTCGCGTCAGTCAGTCAAATGCCTGCCTTAGTATACGGTATACATTTTACCTTTCTATGCATATAAAACACTTAAGGAAACACTTCCGAACTGCACAATATTTCCAGGAGTGTCATACAAAGTACCGCATGCATTTGTTATTACGAACCATTGTATTTAACTCAAATTTTTAATAAAATAGGCTTTATGGCAGTCTGTTCTTAAGTACAAGTTGTTCGAAGTTGTACGTTCATAGTTTATACGGGCTATATAATGTTAGATTTAAAAATGATTATTCCAATTAATAGTATTTACAGAGATGTCCCTTTTCCCCCAGATTTAAATTAAAATGTGAAATTTATATTTCCTTCGGAATGATCTTTAGGGCACTTTTATATTTTTTTCTTTTAAAGAACTGCTAAACTTTAAATAAACAGTTTCTCAGTACTTTCTGCCTTTGCTGCATTAATAAAAATGGCTACCCAGGCATAAATCTGGAGGTAAAAATTAAGTGTAACGTACAAAATATGCTTTACATGTGGTTTTTGCCTTCTAGAAACTGACATTAAGAGGGGCTTCATGGTATATAATGGGTGAGCTTTATCTACAAATCATTCTCATTTATTTTACAAATTCCATCTTTGAATATATATTGACATGACTGAATTAGAACAAATCTAGACAAATGTTTAAAAAACTACACAGCAAAGAAAGCAAGGTGCAATAATTCAAAGTTCAGATTTGCATTTATAAATGCAAAGTCCACACCTGTTATCATAAAATATGAAATAAACATGAGAAAAAACACGGGAATACAGACAGAGAACATTAGCTTAATGTCAGTGTGACCAGCTCTGTAGAGCAGAGAATGACTGTTCTTACCTTTGGGTGAGGTGTCACTTAAGATCATGTCTTCATGGCCTTGCTCCACAATCCTGATCACGAACACTGGATGCCCGTCTTTCTCCTCAATGGAGCAGAGATAGCGACAGCGCCGGTTGGCATAGCGTGTGCTCCAGTACAACCGGCTGGCTTCATAACCCACAGGGTACAGTGCTTTAGGAGAATGGAATGCTTGCATCTGCTGTGGGAGCAGCTGGCCAATGGTGTGGAAGATGAGGCTTCCAACACGAAAGGTGTGGTCGCGCTCTCCTCGCTGCACAATGCTAGCAATCTGCCGTACTTCATCACGTTGAACATAGACCCGCCTGAAGACTGCAAAGTAACTTAATTCTTGCTCATGAATTCCCTTTGGTTTGTGCATGGGACAAAGCATCGTTTTGTCCTTAAAAAACATGCATTGTGCTTTAATGGCACAAGTAAAGTGGTAAATGTTGGTGCACCGAAATCTGTGACACCCGCTGGTGGCACCCATTTTATGACAGAAGACACATTTCATTTGCAGGCCTCTCCTCAGTGCTAGCTCCACATTGATTAAGGCACCAGCTTGGGTCTCATAGACCTCTGTGGACCACAGAGCACAATTCAAGTGGACCCACAGATCTAAGTCAAGGTTGAGCAGCCTTGCTGGCCCATCTGTCAATCCATCACCTTCTTCATGACAAAAGCAACACTTCCTATAGTCTTTGGGCACAGGATCAGGTTTAAGGGAAGTGCCCAATTTCTTTAGAAATTCATCAATTTCATCCTCACAGGGTGGTTTGAATGTTCCCTTGGGGATGACAATATGAATGCTCCATTTCTTCCACTTCATTCCTCTCCACTTTTTAGTTAAAGGCCTACAGTCGTCAAACCCGCTATGTATGGTTCTTAGCCGGGGCTTTAACTTGACTGTTACCTTAAGTTCATCTGGCTTTGCCTCTACTTTGGCTGCTTCAAAAGCAGGAGGGAAAGTGATGGGAGGCGATGCAGGGGGAGACACTCTTCCCTGAAGCTGCGGGAGACAGTGCACATCTAAAGTAGAGATGTTGTTACTATACTGATGGAATGCTTTGGAAGACACTTCTTTTACAGGTGACTGTGACAACGAAGGAACGGATTCCTGGGCAATAAAAAAAAACCACACAAAAAAAGAGTAATTCATAAGCTTTAAAAGCAATTTTTTGTTAAAGCAAGAAGTCAAGCAATCCTAAAGATTTAATAGGGAGTGTAACTTAGGGGAAAAGGTCAATAAGTGAGTGGTGAGGTTTCATAACCAGCAGAAGTCAATGCTAATATTGCAGATGTTTAGGTGTTGAGAAACAGCCCCGGCCACAGTAGGATAACTGTAGGTAGATCTTTCCCAAGCCTTTTCTACAAAGGCAAAACCCTAGAGAATATTCTGCTCTTAAACCTTCTTGGACACCCCCTATCTAATAAAGTCAGAAAAATCAATGCTGTCAGAGGAGCTAACTACAGGCAAACCTCCAAGATAACACAGTTTCAGTTCCAGACCACTGCAATAAAGCGAATATCACAATAAAGCAAGTCATAGGAATTTTTTGGTTTCCCAGCGCATATAAAAGTTATGTTTACACCATACTGTAGTTTATTAAGTATGCAATAGCATTATGTCTAAAAAAAAAAAAGTAAATAACTTAATTAAAAAATACTTTATTCTAAAAAACGTTAACCATCATCTGAGCCTTCAGCGAGTTGTACTCTTTTTGCTGGTAAAGGGTCTTGCCTTGATGTTGACAGCTGCTGACTGATCAGGGTGGTGGTTGCTGAAGGTTGGGGTGGCTGGGGCAATTTCTTAAAATAAGACAACAGTGAAGTTTGCTGCATCGATTGACTTCCTTTCACAAGAGATTTCTCTGTAGCATGTGATGCTCTTTGATAGCATTTTACCCACAGGAGAACTTCTTTCAAAACTGGAGTCAATCCTCTCAAACCCTGCTGCTGCTTTATCAACTAAACTTATGTAATATTCTAAATCCTCTGTTGTCATTTCAACAATGTTCACAGCATCTTCACCAGGAGCAGATTCTATCTCAAGAAACCACTTTCTTTGATCATCCGTAAGAAGCAACTCATCTGTTAAAATTTCATCATAAGATTGCAGCAATTCAGTCACATCTTCAGGCTCCACTTCTAATTCTAGTTCTCTTGCTATTTCCACCAAATCTGCAGTTTCTTCCTCCACTACAGTCTTAAATCCCTCAAAGTCATCCATGAGGGTTGGAACCAACTTCTTCCAAACTCCTTTTAATGTTGGTAGTTTGACCTCCTCCCAGGAATCACAAATGTTCTTAATGGCATCTAGAATGTTGAATCCTTTCCAGAAGGTTTTCAATTTACTTTGCCCAATCCATCAGAGAAATCATCATCTATGGCATCATCTATTGGAATCATCAAAATGTATTCCTTAAATAATAAGACTTGAAAGTTGAAATGACTGTTTGATCCACAGGCTGCAGAATGGATGCTGTGTTAGCAGGCATGAAAACAACATGAATCTCCTTGAACATCTCCATCAGAGCTCGTGGGTGACCAGGTGCATTGTCAGTGAGCAGGAATACCTTGAAAAGAATCTTTTTTTCCTAAGCAGTAGGTCTCAACAGTGAGCTTAAAATATTCAGCAAACCATGTTATAAACAGATGTGCTGTCATCTAGGCTTTGTTGATCCGTTTATAGAGCACAGGCAGAGTAGATTTAGCATAATTCTTAAGGGTCCTGGGATTTTCAGAATGGTAAATCAGCATTGGCTTCAACTTAAAGTCACCAGCTGTATTAGCCCCTAACAGGAGAGTCAGCCCGTCCTTTGAAGCTTTGAAGCCAGGCATTGACTTCTCCTCTCTAGCTATGAAAGTCCTAGATGATATCTTCTTCCAATACAAGGCTGTTTTGTCTACACTGAAAATCTGTTCTTTAGTGTAGCCACCTTCATCAATTACCTTAGCTATATCTTCTGGATAACTTGTTACAGCTTCCACATCAGCACCTGCTACTTCTCCTTGCTCTTTTATGTTGTGGAGATGGTGTCTTTCCTTAAACCTCATGAGCCAACCTCTGCTAGCTTCAAATTTTTCTTCTGCAGCATCCTCATCTCTCTCGGCCTTCATACATTTGAAGAGAATTAGGGCCTTGCTCTGGATTAGGCTTTGGCTTAAGGGAGTGCTGTGGCTGGTTTGATCTTCTATTCAGACCACTAAAACTTTCTCCATATCAGCAATAAGGCTGTTTCGCTTTCTTATCATTTGTGTGCTCACTGGAGGAGCACTTTCAGTTTCCTTCAAGAACTTTTCCTTTGTATTCACAACTTGGCTGACCAACTTGGGTGGAGCAAGAAGCCTAGCTTTCGGCCTATCCCGGATTTTGACATGCCCTCCTCACTAAGCTTAATCACTTTTAGTTTTTGATTTCAAGTGAGACGTGCTACTCTTCCTTTCACTCGAACACTTACAGGCCATTGCAGAGTTATTAACTGGCCTAATTTCAATATTGTCCTGTCTCAGGGAATAGGGAGGTCCGAGGAGAGGGAGAGAGACAGGAGAACAGCTTGTCAGTGGAGTAGTTAGAACACACACACAACATTTATCGATTAAGTTCACCGTCTTATACGGGCATGGTTCGTGGTGCCCCAAAACAATTACAATAGTAACATCAAAGATCACTGATCACAAACCACTGTAACAGATATAATAATAATGAATAATCTTAAAATATTGTGAGAATTACCAAAATGTGACACAGAGACACGAAGTGAGCACATGCTGTTGGAAAAATGGTGCTGACAGACTTGCTTGATGGAAGGTTGCCACAAAACCTTCAATTTGTAAAAAATGTAATAACTGCAAAATGCAATAAAATGAGGTGTGCCTGTATATGAATTTGTACAATGGAACTGTTTTTTTGTTAAACCAAATTAAGAATTTCAGAACAAAAACTCCTACAAGCTTGTCCCCACTCTCTGAAATTCCTGTGTGTTAATCTTGGCTCAATCAATTGTCATAAATGTGAAGAAAGGAGGAGTCCTCTGTCTGCAAACAAATCATATTTAAGGTTCCTCAGTTCTGATCCAGCTGCTGAAAGAGTTGTGCCAAGAGAGAAGTTCCAGCTGTTTCTCTTTAGCAACAGAGTAACCTAAACTAATGAACACTAAGCCTGCAGGTCTGCCCCCTCCTTCTCATACACCCCCATCCCACAAGGCATCTGAAAAAAGTCAAATCTTACATAAAGCCCAGGAGTGGAAGGAATCACACACCCACTTAAGAAAACTATCTGGTGAAAACACATAAACAACTTTTTGTTTTTTTCAAAACTTTAAAGTGGCATATAGCTTAGATTTCATTCTATCAGGGACTACTTCCTGTTAAAAAATAAGAGTCTCCAGCACTTTTTTCTGAGAAAGAGATGGTAGACCAATAGCCCGGACATAGGACTGGCTGATGGCATTACTGTACAGCAAAAAAATCACAAAATCACTTCAAAATATGATTAAAAAATATATTTTTTGTATCAACCACACATTCTGGATACACTTACACAAAATCATGTAAACGAGATCTTTTCCACTATGGTTTGAGCAAAATACTGTCTCTTAAAATACATGAATAGACTTAAATTTTGCTTTTGAATAGGTTTTCCTATTAGGATAAGATCAATTTTTTATAATTGTAATTAAGATATTCAAACTTTAATTAGCAAAATTAAAGATTTTAACATTAGTGTTCTTTTCAATTCTGAGCTTTTAAAATATAATTGAAATCTGTCCACTGTTGTCAAATAAGTTAAATTTATTTTATTTGAAATAGCAGCATGATCAAGGATTTTTATAACCTCTTTTTCTCAATTTGATTAGCATTTGCTTAGGATTTCCTACACAGGGAGCCCTATGAAGGAGCTCTGGTGGCAAAACGGCTAAGCAATTGGCTGCTAACGGAAAGGTCAGCAGTTTGAACCCACCAGCGGTCTGTGGCAGAAAACAGCTGCCAATCTGCCCCGTAAAGATTAAAGCCTGGGAAAGCCTATGCGACAGTTCTACTCTGTCATACATAGGATAGTACAGTACTGACTCGACAACATACAGCAACAACATTCGCTAATGTATGCCCAAAACACAGAAACCACACATTATATATTATTGATTGAATTCAGAATATCCTCATTTTACCTTGCTTTCTGAGTTTTTTGCTTGTGCAGTTGATGAATAAAGAATAAAGCAGTTATTACTACAAAAGACAATGTCCTTCTCCACTCTACTGAAACTTTCTCGGGAATCCTAAAAATCAAAGAGAAATGTGTGAGGAGCTCAACAAGCCAAAATGTAATAAACACAGAATCTATACACTCCTGATTTTTATGTTATATTCAAAGTGAAAGCATTTATTTATTTTCAAAGTAAAAAGTTAACTATGTCCCAGTATTTAGCATATAATAATTTAGTTAAAGAGAAATAAAGTTACAAAAACAAACTTTATTGCCATATTTAACTCTGTTTTAAAATGTGTGGCCCTTACAATATCCACGTGCACAATCTGTTGTGGGTATTTGGTTTTAAGCCCACACAAGTATAACATATGCTGATGCAACTACCGGAATATGTGTCATATTAAAAAAAAAAACCCCGTTGCTGTCCAGTCAATTCCGACTCAAAGAGACCCTCTAGGACAGAGTAGAACTACCCTACAGGGTTTCCAAGGAGCACCTGGTGGATTCAAACTGCCGACCTTTTGGTTAGCAGCTGTAGCTCTTAACCCCTACACCACCAGGGTTTCCACGTATCATACTACTCTAGGATAAATGGACTCTCTTTATGATGTAGGAGTAAAGTCCAATAAAGACTCTTTTTGGAGGTAGGGGATGGAATTATAGAAGGAAGATTAAAGTACCTTGCTCACAAAGGTTAGATCTTTGAAAGATTTCCGCACACCACTACCCAGAATTACCACTTTACAGTGACAACACCACTGTGGTCTGAGTGCCGAGCCTTCTGCAATACCATGATTAGAATCCTTATATCCAGTGACACCTAAAGGTAACAGACTTTTGTTAATAATTACAACTGAGTAATGAAACAAGAAGGTACAGTGTGTGAGGTTATGCTGTGCAACTTATTACAATATGGTACATTATAAGTTACATTGTATTAGCCTTTATTTATCTTCCAAGCTATGATTATAAGGCATCGATTACATGCATGACACTAGGGTATAAATAAACAAAACACATCTATTCTTGAACACGAGAACACTAGTGCTAGCATGTAAAAAGTACCTAACAAAACCAAATTACCAAGATATATTAGTACTCAGTCTAAGTGCTAGATCTGTTGGGGGGTGGGGGGGTGAAGGTATGATTTCTGCTTGAGGGTTAAGATTATACAGAAGAGTTTTATAAAGGATGAAGAGGTATGTGTACAGGAGTCTTAAAAAAGTGTGACTTGGACAGTCAAAGAAGAATTTACATCCAAAGCAAGATGTAAACATAAATAAAGACTGAGAGATTATAGTGTGGGACGTGCTCAGAGAACTGAGCATGATTCATTGTGCTTTGCGACTGACGTAGGGTGTGTGAAGGCAGAAAAGAGAAGCAGGAAGAAAATGAGAACAACAGAAGCAGAGGCTAAGAGTTCCAAAATGCAAGACAGACAACTTCCAAAGAAAGTTCAAAGATGAGAACTGGTAAGCTGCTAGATCCTAGCAGAAGGGTAAGGATGGAAACAAGATGACAAGGACACTGGTAAGTGAGAAGATGGTGGGGCTGCAGGGGCATGCCTAAGACCACTCTCCTGAGACTTCCAGGGAGACAGGAAGGAAAGCTGGGTCATGGCCAGTCTGAGCAAGTTTTCCTCGTTCTCAGGGATGGGGAAGGCATGAGCACATCTAGTGGGAAGAGAAGGGCCCTGTGGAGATGGTAGAGATGTAAAAGAGTAGTAAGTGATGACAGAAGAGAGGATGCAGGAGATAAGGAACAAAGAACGCAAGTAAAGTTGCCAGCCTCACTTGCACAACGTGAAGCAAGCAGAAAGTGGGATGGGAGGTTTGGGGGAACACGGAAGAACAAAAGATGATTAAGGGTAAGAAAGTTCTTCTAACAGTGTTGTGCAGATGGTTGGCAATCAGGACTTACTGGTTAACAGCATGATATCTATTATATATAATGTATATATGTCCCAGAGAACTAATCACCCCACAGAAAACAGAACGCCCACAAAGGGTTAATTTACCAAGGGTCATGCACCAGCATGTTACCTGTTCTTGTTAAAAATTAAATGGAGATTAAAAAAAAAAGCTTAGTTTTTGGATCAAGAATGCATTTAACAAAATGTAAACTAGCTCACCGTTGTTTGTTGGAGGAAATGGTGCATTAGGCTGCTTTAGCTGGTAGGAGCTTGCTAATCTGGGAGGGTTTGCAGACGCTGGTGGAGGCCCACGAAGAAGTAAGTGCTGCCGATACTCCAAACCTGGGTTTATTCTGTGGCTACTGACCAAACCCACGGATGGAATATCTGGAGCATTACTAACCTCATAGCTGTTAGGAATTCGGACATGAAGAAGATCGGAAAATGCAGCCACAACACTGCTAATGTTCTAAAACAAAGTGAAAAGTACTGTGTAACCCACCCAGAAATCAACAGTGAACAATTCAAAAGAAGAAATACTTAGGGTAAATGCCATCTGCGTCATACATACACTGCAAGAAAACCCAACAACTATTATTTAGACTTAAAAGGGCCTCAGGAAAGTATTTGTTTTAATGGACCAACAGTCAAATAAAGCTTTCAGAAACAGAAATCCTCATAAAGGGATTCCAGCTAACACTAAATATTTATGAGCATTAAAATATTTTAGATATTCTGTTATCTGACAGGTGTAAAGGACATAACTGCAAGGACTGTACTAAGCCTTGTCAATTTTTACAGTTGGTCAGAAAGATTATTTCAGGTGGCTTCTGTTCAGCTTCAGGCAAAGGTCTGAAACAGTTCACAAACACTCAAGTGCTGTGCTACTGCTATGCTGTTGCTATGCTACGTAGATGTCCAAAAGGTCACTTCACGGGACTATCAGTCTGGCTCTCCAACAAAATGTCTTTACAGAATTAAGAGTTTAAAAACAAAAAAAACCACCCTCAACAACTATCAGGTGCAACTGCTACCTTAAGAACATTTCTCTTGCTTCTGTAAAACTTTTATTGTTGATAAAGATCCTTTAACTTTCTACAAGGTTAAGAGTCATGAAAAAGTTTCTCTCTAAAGGGCTCTCCAAAATATATTTCCTTTTATTAAAAAATGAGAATGCTAACTCGTTTTGTCCTTTCTGAGTACTCAAAAGTAGCCTAGATGTCTGAAGTGAATATTAATTCTACCCTAACTTTGATCTTTTATCCTCATGATCCTACTGGATGTTTCATTGTAAGCCACCTGATACATCTTTAAAAACAGGAACATAAGCTACAATGTTAAAAAAAAAAAGTCACTTCATCTTTTACCTCAGCAGCTGTAGGATGCAGGGTAATTGCTACAGATATAAGGCTCGATCTGGGACCATTTGGGGATGTACCAAAAGGTGATGTGAAAAATAAAGTGCCTGGCTCAGTTTTGATGTCATTCCTCCTAGATTCTGAACCTTAAGGGGGGGGAAAAAAAAGAGAAAGAAAAGAAAGGAAGAAACAAAAAAAGAATTGAGTGTTAATGGCTTTTCAAAATAAAAATATTTACGTTAGTAACTAAATCAGCATATTGTAAGGAAAAATAATAAGGCTAAGTATTTTCCTTACTTTTCCCAGTATTGCTAGGAAGAATTGGAATGATCGGGGAGGGCACAGGTTCTGGAGGTTCCTCTTTGACTAATGACAAATCTGGGTATCTGCTCACTGCCGTGCCAACCACACTTTCAGGAGAGGATGAGGGAACAAAACTGTCAGGAGTGTCCCGATCACCACAGTGATCCTGTATCCTGTGAGAAGAATAAGCACAAACACATCAACGCGTGCATATCCACCAGTGGAGGCTTCTCGCACCCGTCCAACAGTACCTACAAGTGTTGCTATAACATTACTTTAGGCAATGGCAGTGACATTCAGTATCATGTGAGTCTGTTCAGGGTCAAATGGAGAGTCTTTCAGGAAAAAAACAGAAGAAATATGTTTAGCTATAATGTAATTTAAACAGTATGTTTCCTTCTGACCAAAGTTTCAACATCAAAGTTTAAAGACCTGCCTGTCCAGATTGTAACACAACAGAGAAAGCCTACCTTTGCAAAATTCCAGATCACTAGGACTATGGGAACACTCCTGTAGCATGAAAAAGGAAAAAGTAGTCCAAGCACACACCTAAGAGTTGTACATGCATAGAGCTTATTATGCTAACAGGCAGCAGTAGCTGAAAGCACAGCTATCCTGTTAATGCTTTTATAAGACAGGAGGAAAGATTGGTCATTATTGCTTTACTGGGCCTTGATTTTTCTTAACTGGTAAAGTAAGGTGAAAAAAAAAAAAGAAGAGACAGGTCCTTCCTGTCTAGTCCAGGAGGGCAGGGTTTACCAAGGCAGTTGTGATTTGAAGGCGAGAGTAGTCCTGGGCCAAAATCTGTGGAAGAGCCCCATGCCTCTTCTGTCTCCCATGCCTCCACCAGACTACATGCTGCCATGAGGAAGGAAAATGTGGGAGAAGCCGCATTGTTAGGAAACCCAAGCAAGTCCTATAGACAGAGCCCTGGGCAATTCGGGGGCAGACCAGTTACCTGGCCCAGGTCAGCAAACATGCAGAGCTAGGAGGCTGCCTCCCATAGCTGCTGAAAGGGAGCACTGCTGCCTCTTTATATATTTGGGAATTTCTAGTGTGAGGTCTACAGGAAAGAAGGGAGACCTGGATTCTAAACCTGGACAAGTTATTTCTCTTTGGTCGACAGTTCTCAAATTAATTAAATAAAGGACTTAGACTAAGTTCATGTCTCATCAAATAAAAGAAGATTTTCCAAGTAAGAGATAATAATTTGATGAAGTAGGTAATAACCCTCTAGATATAACTAGTTGGGTCGAGATTATTTAGCAAGGGAACCTGATTCTCACAGATCAGAATCTTGGGAAAAGATTTGGTACAAAGAGTTTACAAAGCATTGAACAGGACACTCCTTAAATTCTCTTCTACAGTAGCATTCCCTGGTATCTGTGACTTCTGCTCCTTTATTTTAGACATTTACAAACTCAAGAAACCCAATACAACATACTAGTAGCTTATAAAGGACAGTGATCTTTGAAATATTCTGTGGGGAGATTTTACATTGCCTTAATGTTTCTTTGATTATTATTATTTGCTGAACTTCCTATCTCATACAAGATCAAAAAATGTACAAACTATTAATAGTAAGAATCTTTTATAAACTTTAAATTCTAAAAAATATTATTCAGCACATTTTACTCCTCAAATTTTTTATATGCTATTCCCACAAACATTATGATAAATACATGCATATAATAAAATAATAAATATTTGAGAAAGAAGAAACTCTCACCTTAATTCTTCTTGATTATTATGAGGTGGTGTTGGAAGTGAAGCTGGAACATCAACTGTCTTTGGGCCCTGAGCAATAGCTCTGGCTAACAAGTCGTCCTGTGGTCTGAATGGCAGCTGAAATGGTTTAGGTCCTAGAGGTTTGGTAACTGGAAAAGCAAAAATACAAAACCACATGCACGTTTATTCAACACTGATATATGGGTGGCACATTACAATTCTATTGCCAGTTCACCATGCACAGCTGGCAAAAGTACACTCCTCAAAGTGGTAAATTTTGGAGGCTACAGTCATACCTTCATGGCTCACTAACACTCCAGCTTTTCCAGCAAGCTCTTCAGTTGTTGCAAAACCATTTGCCATCTTCTGACAAGCCAAAGGAGGTGGTGTAGGAGGAAGAGAGGCAGGGGGTGTTGGAGGATTACTTAAATTATTCTGCTGCAGGAGACCAAAAGATTTTAAATTATATGCTACTGAACAAATGTGCAAAAATCTTGCTAAAACTTAGTTCTGTGAATTTTTAGTACACGGAGGTAAGGCTACAGAAATGTAATCAAGATGCATCTTCATTCCTAAATGCACCCAAGAAGAAAAATATGCATACAAGGCCAGAAAGCTTTTTATTGGAACAAATACTCATGACTTTATGGACATAATATATACATGGTATCTGCTTACGTACTTTCCCAGCTTGAGTATTTAACTTTGAAATCAAGGAGCAAATTTCTATTACGTCTGATTCTATCTTCTGTAACTGTTTACAAGTTTCACTGTTATAACCAGTGAAAGAGAACGTTGAAATTCAACCCATCAATTATAAAAAGTTCTGAAAAATTCTTTTATTAAATTCTCATGAAGATGCTCAGTTTTACTTAAAAAAAAATAAAAAATTGAGAGTTTGTGGCCCAAAACCTATGAGTTGCAACTCACATCACAGATACTGGAATCTGGATTATCCCTTTCAAGACCCGTGGGATATACGGTATCCCACCCAGCCCAATTTTTAACATATTTAGCCTCAAGGTGGTAGCATTCTGAAGTGTGTGAAACTCAAAAGTCCTGAGTGGGAGTCTCATTTTTGTGTAGATTGAGCACCGTCTTAGGTGATGCCTCGCAGATGTGTGAATTTTCTAAAATTCTGACAGGTTTGCCTTTATTTCTGTGAGATAAACCTCCTCACTATGTTTCCCTTTTACTATGTTCTTGTGAGAATGTACTTACAGTGAGAATTAGCTATTGCCAGTCTTCATTCAGTCACAGTGGCCATTTTCTCCTTTATGCCATTCATTGTTTCCAGGTGTTACTGGCTCCCTGTTTTTCTAGCTTCTGAACAGTAAATAACACCTTTCCAAGAAGGAATAATGCATTGCAGGGGTACTTTTCAAGAGCTTGGAACTCCTATAGGTTATTCTTAACCCTGTATTCAATCTTAGGGCCCAATCATTGCTTCCACGTGTAGCAGGTGGAATGCACTGCTGTGAGCAGTTCTACAGTATTCCAGGGCAGCTGTTTCTGCTTCTTTGCTGGTAGTACTACTGTTGTTATAATGAAGAATACATAGTAGTGGTAATTTTCCTGAGATTCAAATTCCCTTAGTTTTACTTACTTTGCCTCTTAAGTACTGCTTTGCAGTAATGAAGAATGGCATTGTAGTGGTAATTTTCCTAATATAAAAACAATCCCTTGGCCTTATTTATTTATTTGGGCTATAATTATTGCGTCTGCAGTAAGGAAGAATGCATTGTACCATGTTTTGGAAAGTTTCTTGAAAATAATACAAGCGCTAAGACGGAGACTAGAATAAAATGTATGTGCAGTCATTGCCAGGTGCCTTTGTGTTTTACTGCATGTTTTGCAAATTTTCAAGAAGTAAATTTAAAAAAAATAAAAAAACCAAATTTTATCATTGATTCACATCAGCAGGATTTATGTTGTACAGAGGCTGCTGGGAGGTATGTGATCCCAGATAATGGGTATCAAAATCCGTAACTCATAACAATAATTCAAAGTTGGTCCTTTAATCATTAGCATGCTTTCATTAGTGGAAACACATAGTATCAACAAAAAATTCAAAGGAGAAAATAATTTTTGGTCTTGAAAGGGTTATCCAAGATCTCAAAAAAAGCAAAAGTAGTAGCCAAAATGACCTAATCATTAAAACATGTACTTCCCCTTCAAGCATTTCCCCTTGCTTAACATTTACAACCAATATCATTTACTGATTGGTTTCTCAGGAACTGCCGGAATCTACCAATATCATGCAAATAAAGTGCAGGGTGAAATTACAAATCTTGCAAAGATATAAAATTTTATGAAGACAATGAAGTGATGTTGCAGAACAACTAGTATCACAAGAAAAAGCACTGTATGAGTTAGGGCAGGTTCTCACTGAAGAGAAAAGACACCAAGAATAACGAATGGAGCATCGAAAGAGAATGATTTAATATTAAAGAAGAGAAGCCCTCAGGGAAACTGATGATACCCTCAAATATTTTTCCAAAGACTATTTTTTTATGTAAGTCAGGTGTAAAATACAGAATGTCACATGATGCTATCATACAACTTTGTTAGAAAAATAATACCAAAAGATAAAATTTGACTCAGTTTGGTATTATTTTTATAGCTAAGAATTAGTACATAGTTGTAATTAGGACTAAAGTGTTAGATAAAATACAATTTTTAAATTAAAAATTTTATTTTCCAAGGTAAAATCCTAACCACATTTTTTATTTCTACCATTTATTATAAATTTGGATTCATTTAAAGGTTTATAAGGTAATAAGGAAATGAGTATTTCTTCTACCACGGAAATACATAGTGGATGTTTTTCACAATTCTTATTATACAAAAATTTCAAATGTTCATGTTAGAACTTAAGTTCAACAAAAGGTTAACATTTCATTGGGTGAAATGTTCCTAACAAAACTTAGAAGATTAGCTGTAAACTAGATGCTAAACCAAGATAAGCTCTACCAATTCTGATATGGTATCCAAAGATAAAGTAAGGTAACATCTTGGCAAAGAAACATACCTTGTATATCAACTGAGAATAGTAATCCGAAACCCCTTCAAGGGTAGCACTGCCAAAAGATCCTAGAAGTCGATTCCCACTATTAAATTGGCCACTGCCATAAGGAAGAAAGTGTGCAAAGTTCACTCCAATGATTGGTTCCATTAGGGGGAGCAGAGAGAGCTGCTATTAAAAAACACATTTAAGAGTAATGTACACAATAAACAAACAAAGCTTTTTTCTCAATTTTTCTAAGACCCAAGGCAACTTAAAGTCAGAAAGTCTTGAGAAAAATGAGACTTTAAAAAATGCCAACTATCAAAATGCTGGAATGAGTGATAGAGACTTTAGAATTTTTGAGGATAACTTAAAAGTAGGATATGTTCTTATCTGTCCTAAAAGGATGTGGGCAGACATCTAATAAGAAAAGCACATTCCTTATCTTTGCTCTTCAAGAATTGGAGCAGAAATTTAGTTAGGTACGATCATGACTATTAATAGCTGTCTCCCACCTTCTTGTAACAACTACAAAGGCATTGAGAATAGAGTTTACAACAGGGGAGACTCAAGTGACTACATTTCTTTGGTTCCAGAGTCACATGTAATGGGGACAGACTGCTTCTTGCTGTGGATGCTGCTTCTTTTGAACGTAAGTAAATTTTGACCAATCCATCTGTTACTGTAATTTTCGGGCGCCATAGGATAAGGTGGAAACAGTAAATCTACTAGGTTCCTTTTGCGATGTCTTTTACCCCGGTAACTTTCTACTTTAATTAGGAAATGATCACAATAAAAAGTTCGGTTTAATAGAGCTGCAAAAGCAATCTGATCTTTCGCTCCCATGAGTTTAGAAAGGCGCTGTTAACAAATGACTCACCTGTTTCAAGTGGGTGAACGTATCAGTGTTTGGGTACATAGTTTGTTTCTCCTCTTCATCCTTTTTCCTTTTCTTTGAGCGAGGTGCTGCTTTCTCTCCAGTCTTCTGAACCCGTTTGGTTCGCTGTTTCTTGGTTTCACTTCCTCCATCTATTTTTGGCAACTGGTTGTTGCCACATCCAAAACCACCTTGCATTTGAGCCCCCAAAGTTTGCTAATGTAATTGGAAAGGTTAAGAAATAAGTGAACTATTCACATGTTTGATTTTTAGTTCATGCTATTCCAGTTCATCCTAGAATCCATATTCCTAACATGGGTACTAACAGTGAAGGAGAGAAGATAGACAGCAGCATCAAATAATCTAATGTTTTCCTGAAAGTATCATCCCATTTTTAGAAACATTATTCTCAAGTACTGAAATCAGTGGGATGCAAGCTTGAGGAAGGAGAACTCCTAAGGAGGGCTATTATTCCTCTCAGATGCAGCATTACTCCGGAGCCTGACTCACTGGTGCCAGTGCTGAGGACCAGCACTCCTTATTCCTGCACACTGGCAGCTCTGAAGGATGGGGCTCCCAGCCAAATGGTTGTGGTGGCCTCTGCATAGTGGTTTTGTTATTTTTGGTTCCCCTTAGGAACTGATGAAATACAAGGTCTGCTGAGACAATTTACAGGTTCCAAAAAAGCTTCAAAACCTATACATCTTATTTGACAGAGACAGCTATTCCCAGAGACCAATAAAAAAGAAACAACAGTGATGATTCAAATAGGCTCAAAATCATACATTTGACAGAAAAATAATGGCCATACTTAAAAGTATAAAGTCCCACTTGGCTACTAACTGAAAGGTTGGCAGTTCGAACCCACCCAGAGGTGCCAAGAAAAGTCCTGGCGATCTGCTTCTGAAAGGTCACAGCCTTGAAAACCCTATGGAGTACAGTTCTACTCTGCACATATGGGGTCGCCACGAGGTATAATCGACTCCACAGCAATTGGTACCCGGTATATTTAAAGTCAGCTGGAGGTGATCTAGACGACAGCAAATAAACCTTTAATTTTGTTTTTTACTTTATGGTCAAGAAGCAAAAAGAAGCTAGTCCTTTAAGAGATTTTTAAGCTCAATACCTAAAAAAAATGTGACTATTTTTCGGGCTCCATTATTTCTAAACTTTACAGCAAGACTTTGGTATAGATAATTGCAGTTGCTGAACTTATTGCAATGCATCAAATCTTGGAAGGTTTTGAAAATTCCAGTTTCTAGTTATTTCCTAAATGGCACAGAGCAGGGGTTAGCAAACTCTTTCTGTAAAGGGCCAGATGGTAAATCTTTTAGTCTGTGTTGACCATGCAGCTTCTGTTGCAACTACTCAAAGCTGTCCTGTGCTGTTGAAAGCAGCCATAGACAACTCTTAATTAAATGGCATGGCTGTGTTCCAATAAAAGCTTTTTATTCATTGACACTGAAATTTGAATTTCAAATTAATTTTCACATCACAAAATATTATTCTTCTTCAGATTTTTTTCCCCAACCATTTAAAAGTTTGAAAACCATTCTTAGCTCATACAAAGAAGTAGGGGAGGTGGAAACAGGCTCAGACTGCTGACGATCCCTGGGCTAGATCAGTAGTTGTCAAAGTGTGGTCTCTGGAGCAGCAGCAGCGAAGCCAGGGGACTTGTTAGAAATGCACATTCACTGGCCCCATCACAGACCTACTGAATCTGAACCTCTGGGGGTGAGCCCAGCAATCACGTCCAGGTGATTCTGATGCATTACAGTGTTGAGAACCTCAGGCTTAGAGCAGTGCTTCTCTGACTTTTAACACACACACCTGGGGATCTTGTTGAAGCACATGTTCTGATTCAGTCGGTGTGTGGTGGGGCAGGAGATTATGCACATTTGAAAAGCTCCTGGTGATGTCAACACTGTTGGCCACCAGGGACTGCATTTTGAGGACTAGGGCTTTCTTACTGGCTTATAGGAGACTAATAATGCAACCACTGATTAAGTATGGGACAGGCATTTTGTTAAGTGCTTTATAGACATTCTCTCTAATCTTCACAATTACCCTAGAAAGCAAACATTACTACATTTCAAAGAATACTTTAAAATAAAAAAAGCATAGAAGATTAATAAGTCACCTGTGAATCTGCCTGAGATGAAAACAGTTAGCATTTAAATTTATGTTTTCAAGTTTATATTTTTTTAAAAACACACACTGGATCACTCTTTGAATTCTTTTATTTTGGTGGCTGCTTTTAAAACTTGACATGTGTTTTTTCCCCAGGCCAGTAAACATTCTCATACAGCATAATTTTAATGGTTACAAAGTGTCCCATCATACACACATTTAACCAATAACTACCATAGTGGATTCAGCTTGTTTCCTTCTCTCATTTTTTTTCTCTACTGGTAGAGACAGGATATGAGCTATTCTTGCAGTTACATCTTTGTGCATATTAGAATTTGACATTCCTTAGGACAGACTGCTAGTGTGTAGTTGCAATATAAGGGTCAAAAATATGTACCTTCTGTAAAAATACAAGCACCCTGCATAAATAGATGGTGCCCGGCTACCACCACTGACTGCCCTGACAGGGATCACAACAGAGGATCCTGGACAGAGCTGGATAAAAATGTAGAACAAAATTCTAACTCACAAAAAAATGCCAGACTTGAGGAGGCGGAGTTAACACGGCACTACAGACAGAAGCACCATGCCGACCCTCTGCAGCAAGACCAGAAAAACTAAGTAAAACAAACATCAACCCTGGAACTAGACATTAAATGAAAGGATGCAGAACTCGATCAAGCACCGAATGGAGTAAGAAACTGACAGAGACCAGAGAACGAGCAGAGCTACGGAGTGGAGGTCCCCTACTAGCTAACGCAGCACAGATTTGCCATCTCGGACCTCAGCCACCAAGAATGGCGTACAGGGAATACAGGAAGGCAACTTCACAGAGCTCACAACAGGAGACAGGGCACCTGGTAACTAGGGATACACACTTTCACACACCCCACCCTTCTTCCCTGTATGAGGCCTCTGCCGCTTTGCAACAGGCCAGTAACTTGGCTGGAGAGACACCAGCTTACCAACACCCCAACTCTACCCCTCCCCACCAGCTGACTCCCACAGAACCATATTTTGTTGTTGTTGTTTCTTCTCTCTCTTTCCCTTCCTTTCCTTTCTCCTGCCTACCTAGCCCTGTGCACCACCCATGCCCCTTCTTGGACAGGCTGATCCACACGGCTCAGCTAGAGAGCCATCGGCACACAGCCTCACCCGATCTGCCCTGCCCCCACCTGCCAAATCCTACCACATCATTTTTTTTGCTTTTTTTCTTTATTGCCTTTTTCCTTCATTTTTTTGCTTGTTTCCCTCTCTTCTTTCTCTCATGCACTTAGCTCCACAAATCACATTTTGTCCCTTCCCTCCTGCCAATCTGCACTGTGCACTGAGCACTCTGCCCCCAAGCAGCACTGGCACGGATCACCAGACCCCGTCCTGCACTGCCTCCTGGCCCCACTGCCTCGGCCCCAGAATGTGATGCAAACGACCCATCCTACCCCCTCCCCCCCGTCAGACCTGCCCTGCTGCACCGCAGCTGAGCGACTGGCCTTGCCACCTGGACAAAGTGGTGACAAGTATCATGCCCACAGATGAGAAAGCAACAAAGCATACCCAGCCTGCCTATCCAGACATAAGTAAATAAGACAAAGAAGCAGGATGAAACAAACAATCTATAATCAATCAATAAATAAAATAATTCCTGAAATGTCTCAAACACAGCAGATAATATCAAAACATATTAAAAAAACAGGTCAGGACGGCTACAGAAAGCAACTAAAATAAAACACCAGATGACCTTCCAGTTGAAGAAAAGGCACTGAACTACCTTATAAGGAACTCAAAACTCATAATACTCAGGGGTCTCCAAGGCACTGAACTACCTGATAAGAACTCAAAACTCATAATATTCAGGGGTCTCCAAGAGATGAAGGAAAACACACACAAAAATAAGAAAAAAAATAGACAAAATCATCCAAAATACAGACAAAATCAGGGAAAACACAGACAAAGCAATGAAGAATTCAGGAAAATAATACAGGAACAAAATATTAAAATTAAACAATTAGAAATCATATAAAAATAGCCATTAGAAATCCAAAAGATAAACAAGATTTCAGAAACAGAGTGCAAAACAAGGTTTTAGGAGCAAATTAGAAACAATGGAAGATAGGATCAGTGAAACTGAAGACAAATCCTTGGATACCACTTTATTCAAGGAAAATCAGAAAAAAGAATGAATAAATATGAAGAAACCCTGAGAACAATGTGGGACACAATCAAAAGCAAAAATCTGCATGTGATTGGAGTTCTAGAACAGGGAGAAAACAGAAAACACAGAGAGGATCACTGAAGATTTGCTGACAGAAAACATTCCTAATATCAGGAAAGATGAAAAGCTGACCATCCAAGAAGCTCAAAGAACCCCATATAAGATAGATTACAAAACAAAATCACCAAGACATATCAAAATCACACTCGCTAAAACCAAAGACAAAGAAAGAATACTGAGAGCAGCTTGAGAAAATGAAAAGTCACAAAGGGGAAACAATAAGACTAAGCTCTGATTACTCAGCAGGAACCATGCAGGCAAGAAGGCAATGGGATGACACATATAAAACCATGAAAGAAAAAAATTGCCAACCAAGAATCATATATCCTGCAAAACTCTCACTCAAATATGATGGCAAAATTAGGACATTTCCAGACAAACAAATTAAGAAAATATGTAAAAACTAAACCTAGCTTACAAAAATTATTACAAGGAATGCTTTGGCTAGAGAACCAACAATATCAGACAACAACCTGAATCCAGGACACAGGACGGGATTAGCCAGAGACCAACCTAGGTAATAAACTCTCAAGGTTAAAACAAAACTAAAAGATTTACAATAGGAACCAGAGAGGTCAATCTGCAAATGACAACAACGTCAGAACAAGAAAAGAAGGAATAAATAGTATAGGTACAGAACTTTCAAATGGAGAGGAAGTGAAGGTGATATCAAGTAATGAAAGACTGGTTTAAACTCAGGAAAATAGGGGTAAATTTCAAGGTAACCACAAAGAAAGTTAACAAACGTACTTGTCAAAAAAAAAAAAAAAAAAGAAAAAAAGAAAGTCTCAGTAAACACAACATTTACAAAAATGAAAGAAATGAAAAAAAATCTACAAACAAAAGGAATTTAGCACAGGAGAGTAAGAGGAACAAAGAAAACATCAACACCACACAAAAAAGCACTACAAAATGACAGCAACAAACTCACACCTATCAATAATCACACTGAAATTAAATGGCTTAAATGCACCCATAAAGAGACAGATTGACAGAATGGATAAAAAAACAAGAACCGTCAATATGCTGTCTACAAGAGACACACCTTAGAAACAAAGACATAAACATATTAAAAATCAAAGGATGGAAAAAAATATATCAAGCAAACAGCTACCAAAAAAGAGCTGCAGTGGCCATATGAATCTCAGATAAAATAGACTTTAAAACAAAATCCACCATAACAGACAAGGAAGGACATTACATAATGATTAAAGGGACAATCCACCATCAGGACACAATCATAATAAATATCTATACACCCAATGACTGGGCTCCAAAATACATAAAACAAACTCTAACAGCAATGAAAAGAGAAACTGACAGTTCCACAATAATAGTAGGAGACTTCAACACAACACTCTTGGTAAAGAACAGAACATCTAGGAAGAAACTCAACAAAGATACAGAAGACCTAAAGGGCACGATCAGCCAACTTGACCTCCTAGACATATACAGAACACTCCACGCACCCAACAATAGCAAAGTACACATTCTTTTCCAATGCATATGGAACATTCTCCACAATATACCACAGCTTAGGCCACAAAGCAATCCAAAACATCGAGATAATACAAAGCATCCTCTCTGATCATGCCATGAAAGTAGAAACCAATAACAGGAAGAGCAAGGAAAAAAAAAAAAATCAAACACACAGAAACTGAATAACACCTTGCTTAAAAACCACTGGGTAACAGAATAAATCAAAGATGGAATAAAAAAACTCCTAGGATCAAATGAGAATGAAAACATATCATACCAAAACCTTTGGGATACAGCAAAAGCAGTGCTCAGAGGTCAATTTATAGCAGTAGATCCACATATCAAAAAAGAAGAAAGGGACAAAATCAAAACAGAGGAGAAATAAATGAAATACAGAATAGAAAAACAAGAGAAAGAATCAACAAAACCAGAAGATGGTTCTTTGAAAGGATCAACAAAATTTGCAAAACACTGGCCAAACTGACAAAAGAAAACAGGAGAGGATGAAAATAACTCAAATAAGAAATGAAATGGGGGACATTAAACAGGATCATAATAGAGTACTATAAAAAACTATACTTCAACAAATTTAAAAACCTAGAGGAAATGGACAAATTTCTGGAAAGACACTACCTACCTAAACTAACACAAACTGAGGTTGAAAATCTGAATAGACTCATAACAAGAGAAGAGACTGAAAAGGTAATTTAAAAAACTCCTAACAACAACAAAAAAAGCCCTGGCCCAGATGGCTTCACTGGAGAATTCTACCTAACATTCAGAGAAAAGCTTGCACCAGTACTACTCAAACTATTTCAGAACACAGAAAAGGAAGGGATACTTCCAAATTCATTCCATGAAGACAGCATAATCCTGATACTAAAACCAGGCATAGCTATCACAAAAAGAAGAAAAAAATAAAACTACAGACCAATATCTCTCATGAATATAGATGCAAAAATTCTCAACAAAATTCTAGCCAATAGAATTCAGCATCGTATCAAAAAATAATACACCACGACCAAGTAGGATTCAAACCAAGTATGCAAGGATGGTTCAACATTAGAAAAATCAATCAATGTAATCCACCACATAAACACAACAAAAGAATCACATGATCATTTCAATTGACGCAAAAAAGGCATTCAATAAAGTCTAACACCCATTCCTGATAAAAACTCTCAATAAAATAAGTATAGAAGGGAAATTCCTCAACATAATAAAGGGCATCTATACAAAACCAATAGCCAACATCATTGTTAACACAGAGAAGCTGAAAACATTTCCCCTGAAAACAGGAACAAGATAAGAATGCCCTTTACCACCACTCCTAATTAACCTAGTGCTGGAAGTCCTAGCTAGAGCAATAAGGCAAGAAAAAGAAATACAGGGCATCCAAATTTGTAAAGAAGAAGTAAAACTGTCCCTATTTGCGGATGATATGATACTATACATAGAGAACCCAAAAGACTCCACAAGAAAACTACTGGAACTAACAGAAAGATTCAGCAGAGTAGCAGGATACAAAATAAACACACAAAAATCATATATTTAAGACTGGCCGAGTTGAGAAAAGTATCTTGGAGAAGATAATTCCAGAACTGAGTTTTAAAAACAAAAAGATGTTGGCCAGATGTATAAAAAGAAGGAGAGCAAGGCAGGCAGAGACGGCAGCACATGGCCATATATGACAGGGTCAACTCAGAAGATATTCAGGGAATTGCAAGTAGTTCAGCATTCCTAGGGGCATAGGATGCAATGGAGAAAGAGGCTAGAGACTGAGCTGGACACTCAGGTATATTTCCTGGTGACAAATATGATTGAAAAAGCTTAACCACTGAAACTTACAAAAATTACAAAAATCTGTCTGGTCAAAACACTCACTCTCTAGTGTATGTTAAAGAGACAAGTAAGAGAAAACAAAAAGGAACAGATCTTATTTGGACAACTAAATACCACTCTACCCCTATTCAATTAAAAAATGAAAACGATAAAGTCTAATTTGAGAAGCACTGTGGTTTTTGAAAGATAAGGAGGCAATATGCCACAAGAGCTAACAAGCAGACCAATTCCTTTGACCTTTAGAAACCCCAGTTTAGGAAATATCTCAAGGAAATTTAACTGAAGCGGGTGTGTGTGTGGCGGAATCTTGTAAAAGTGTATTTATAATTAACCTTTTTCATACATAGGAAAAAGTAAAAGCAAACCCTGTGTTTCCTATCTTAAAGATTAAGCAAACTATGGTAATATTATGATGACATATTCTATAGCTATAAAAATTATACAGATAGAATACTGATACATGGAAAGCTACAAGGACAAAATAGTATCCACATATAAGATTACAAATGTATAACATTCAGAATTAATATATTATAACACAAGGGATTCTCAATATAGGTTATCTCTGAGGCTATCTAAGGGTATTAACGGGGATACATGAGCTATTTTCTGTATTTCAAAGAGCTTATTGGAAATTACTCTTATTTATAATAAAGATACACAGACTAATCATTCACTTTCTCTGCTTTGCTTAGATCAACTCAGGGGGAGTAGTAACCAGTTAATAGGCACATGCTACATACAGAATGCATTACATGTTCTTAGTTTAAAAATGTGTATATAGTGAACAGATTATTACTTAATATAGTTTATGGTTATAACTCAAAACATGGGGTCCATGGAGGCAGCAACAACATAAAAAATGGTCATTTAGAGTAAAAAGATTACAAAATAGTATTAAAATTAATATAGGTGTTGGCACTTAATCTGCTGTAACTATAATTTAAAATAAAACAAAACAAAAAAGTTGTTTTCACGATTCAAACTTACCAATCCTTCAGCTGGGTTCTGCTTCTCAACTAGTTTCTTATCCTTTGCACAGTCGCCTTCGGAACAAAAACTGCCTTCAGGTTTCTGATTTATAAGGGAAGATGACTTTTTATTTTTCAACAAGTGTTTCAGAAGTTCATTCCCTGCATCTCCTTTGGCAGCAGGGCCCCCAACAGGACGAGGAGGGCTCTGTGCTGAGGAGACAGGATGGGCTACAGTTTTTTCTTCCACCTTATTACTGGTTTCTTCCTCCAACTTAGGCTCGTCTCGGCCAGGGCACTGCTCTGTTTCAGCCTGTTCTAGTTTTACCTCTTCAATTTTGGCAGGGGTTTCCACGGACAGCTTATCCATCTCTGGATTTGCATGAGTCTGTTGATTCGGAGTTCCTTGTGAACAATCACTAATGGGCAGTTTGTTTTCTGATTCTGTGCACAGCTGGCTGGCTGCTGCATTAGGGGTTGTTGGACCTGCTGGTTCCACTGACTCTTGTTCTGCTTGCTGAGGAAGCTCACTGGGTGTGTTCACTGTAGGAGTAGAGGTAGTTTCTGAGATGCTTGGAGTCGGTGGAGCAGTTACATCTGAATGGGGAGTTGATGGTGCCTTGGTAGATTCTGCATCATCATCTTTTTTCTTTTTTCTTGTTCTTTTCTTTTTCCCTTTTTCTTCTGGGATTATGTCAGAATACAACTGAATGAGAGACTGGTTTGACGCCGGGTAACTCTGTCCATGGGTTACAGCAGCTTCTTGGCCACATGGAAGACCACTATTAGCTACTGGAGGTGCTGCTGGTAATGCAGGTGTAAAAGGAGGCCTCACCTGGGACTGCTGGAAGCTGATGCCAGAAAGACTTCCATGCATCTGCTTAACAGAAGGGAAATTCGGACTTCCCCCAGGAATTGACAGTGAATCAGGAACAAATGCGGGAGGCCCTACCTGTCTTCGCTCATTTGTTTGCATGAAAGTATGGGTAGGAGGAGAATTCATAGATCCTTGTTGTATATTCTGCTGCTGTAAAACCTGCCCCATTTGCTGTTGGTGTTGTGGAGACTGCTGAAGGGGTCTTGGAGGTTGCATAAAATCACAAGGTAAGTCAGAACTATAGAATGGAATCTGGGACACAGATGCCCTACTACTGAGCTCTGAGCCCATCATGCCATGCTGTTCCATTTCCATCCTCTGCTGCAAAGCTCTCTGTCTATCTACTTCCTGCATGAGTTGGATTCGCTGTCTTTCCTGCTGTTCTCGTAAACGTTCCTTACGTTCCCGTTCTTGAAAGCTTTCACTAAAGGGGTTATTGTCATCAAATTCTACCCGTGGTGGTGGTCCACTCTGTGGATTTGCATTTGACACTGTCCCTGGGGCTGGTGTGCAAGTTTTTATTGGTAACTGGGCAATTGGGGCTGGAATCCTAGGCGGATTGAGGGGCAGGTGAGCGGGAGCATTGGTAGGCTGCCATCCAGGTAAACTGGGCATTCTGGCAGGGCTGCTATGGCCAGGAATGACTGCTGTGTGTTGCTGGTGCTGTAGCTGCTGTGGCACCATGGGGAAGCTGGGCTGACTAACGGAGGGTGGAGTGGTTCCTGGAACAAGAGATGGCTGGGGCTGGACACCGGGCATAATGGTAGGTGGGGCCATGGCACACTGCTGCTGCTGCTGTTTGATGCGATAATCTTCAATCAGCTCCGCATGCTCTTTCTGTTGTTTACGAATCTGGAATAATAAAATTAATCATTACCTATTTACATATACTATAGGTACCAAACTAAAATACTGGCTGATGATAATGGAAAAGGTTATATATAGAAGGCAATTAAACTCTCGAAGGAAAATATTTTGTGTAGGCAATAGCAAAATCACAAAAAAATGGACTGATAGATCTTAGCCAAAATATCTCGTCCTCTATATTTTTTAACAATAGGATTTTTCTAAAGGCATCTGTAAGACTTCTTTAAAAGTGAAACACCAAAAACATAAATTCCAAAACCACTCTTCTGGAGTAAAAAATATTAAGAACATCTTACTGTTGAAGTCACACACTATTTAAACTACACACTCAAAAGTAGGATGAAACAATAAACAAAAACTACATAGGAAGCAATTAATTGTGATGCCTTAGAAGTGACATTAATACATAAGATTAGAATAACTGTGAGATTTAACTCCCTTAAGCACTTAAATATGTTAAGATTTCATTTTTTAAATATTCAAAATTGCACCTAATATTTCAAAATAAGGTAAATAAATAGCTACTTCATTAGCACATATACCCACTCCTCCCCTAGGTTAAAAAGACCAGATTTGTAAAACTCTTTGAATTTAATGAGTAACATACTCAAGTTATAATTTCTGAAATCTACATAAACTCTGAGGTAATATTTTGAATAGTTCTAGATAAAAACCAAATCCATTGCTGTTGAGTCAATTCTAACTCACAGCAACCCTACAGGACAGAACAGAACTGCCTCATAGGGTTTCCAAGGAGCGGCTGGTGGAGTCGAACTGCCAGCCTTTTGGTTAGCAGCTGAGTTAACCATTGCGCCTAGGCTCCTAAAATAATGACTGACTTGTGTTGGTTAATTCATTCAAAAAAACTTTGAGCCCCTAATGTGTGCCAGCTACTATATACCAAATAACAATAAAAATGCAATCCATGTCCTTGAAGAACTCATTATCTTACTTAGGGAGGTAGGGTAGGAAGTGATACACTATGATAGACAAATCTTTCAAAGCCATTTAATTTTTGGATAATTATTATATTATACTGGACTCAGTGGTTCTAATAGTTTTTCAATTTATTTTCTTGGGTTTCCCAGGCAGACTAGCAATATTCTCTGTAAATAATGGTGTTTGGACTCCTCTCTGGTACTTTACTGGCCAGAACTGAGGAATTACCATTTGATCAGTAGAGCAATTAAATGATAAAAATATTTTTAAAAGAGTATTTACCTATGACAAACATGGGCCCAGAGAATGAATTTAAAGAGAAAATAAACCTCTCATTCTGGAATAGTCCTAGTTTTAAACAATAGGAATTACACGATAATCACCTTACTGTTGGTATGTTATTGTAGTAGCCCAAAGATAAGACATCTGAGTCCAATTATTAGCTATGAGTGAACATGTCACCTACCCTCTAAAATGACTTAGCAGTTTCTTTATTTGTAAGATGGTGGTAATACCAACTACTTCAGAAGCTTGCAGAGAAGATGAAATAAGATAATGTATGTGAAGGTGCTTACTAAAGTGTTCTATACATAGAAAGCACTCAAATTATATTGAGTCAATCTACTCTGAATCCCACTCTTTCTAGTATTAACATTTTTTTAAATTTTATTTTTAAAATTAAAATACAGCAAAATTGACTTTTTTTTGGTGTACAAATTCTATGAATTGTACACATGTAAAGTTTTGAGTAGCCATCACCAAAATCAGGATACAGAAGAGTTCTTTCACCTCAGAAAACTCCCTAATGCTGCCTCTTATCCCCTCATCTCTAACCCTTGACAACCACTAACCTACTCTCCATCTCTATAATTTTGTCACTTTAAGTATGTTATGAAAATAGAATCATACAGAATATAACCATTTGGGATTGGCTTCTTTTACTCAGCACAATGCTCTTGAGATCCATCCAGGTTGTTGCATGTATCAACAGCATGTTCTTTTCTGCTGCTAAGTAGTATTCCATTGTATGGATGTTAAGTTTATTGGTGGTACATCCACCAACATTTACCAGTGAAGGACATTTGGGTTGTTTCCAGTTTTGGGTGACTCTGAATAGAGCTGCTATAAACATTCATGCACAGGTTTTTGTGTGAACCTAAGTGTCTTAGGCTGGATTCTCTAGAGAAGCAAAACCAGTGAAGTGTATTTATGTATATACATAGAGAGAGATTTATCTCAAGGAAATGGCTCATGTGGTTGTAGACACTGGCAAGTGTGTGGGTCAGGCGTCAGGATGGGGGCTTCTCTTGATTCATGTAGCTGCAGGGGCTGACAAACCCAAGATCAGCAGGTAATACAGCAGCTGGCTCAAGTTTCAAGAAATAGAGGTCAGATGATGATGAGCCGGATGCAGGATCCAGAGGAAGTGAGTGAGCTTTGCCAGAACATCCATATATATATTGAACGCAGGCCACATCCCTGAGGAAACTCCCCTTACAACTGACTAGTTGATCACATCAGATCATATCAGGGAAGTGATTACATTACATCACAGAATGGAGGATAACTATATCATCATATAAATGCCAAACCACTGAGAATTATGCCCCGGCCAAGTTGACGCACAACCTTAATCAGCACACAAAGTTTTTAATTCACTTGGGTAAATACTGGGATGTGGCAATGAACCCATTTTGAAGGCTATTTTATTTTAAAGAAAAATTATAAATGTTACTTCTTTTTAAGTGTAACCGTTAATTTCAGTTTCAAAATTTTTAGAAACAACCACTTTATAATGGAAGATAACAACAAAATGGTTTCATTTTTCAGGAGGAAGTCCTTTACATAAGATATACCAATGTTTTTTAAGATCAAAACATTTAGAAGGGAGGGGAAAAAAAGCATTCCATGAAAAACAACCAGAATGGCTCAAATACTGTTGTGAACTCCACTAGAAACTAGGGAGAAAAAGGACGTGGTAAAGAAAAGGTCAACTACAAGTGAGAAGATACTTCTTGAGGTCCTGATTCTTGTTTCCACCTAAACCCAGGATTTCACCTTGAGCTCTGTCCTCAGGGAAGTTAAAGACTCTCAAATGATGTAGTAACATGGTCACTCCACAGTGATTTCTTGGTGCAGGGGAAATAACTGAATATCCTTAACTATACCAGCGTTGCTAAACAGTATGGAAATCATTCTTCTAAATCAGAATTATGAGAGTTAATGTCTTCAATGGCATTCATTAAGTACATGCTGTGTGACTACTATTCTAGGAAAGGACTGGGGCTGTTATTCCTTCAGTTAATAATAGGTCTCAGACTTGTCCCTTTTTGGCAGTGTACTTTCTGTATGCTGTTTGACACTAATCATCAATTCTATATCATTAATGAATGGCACTCAAAAAAAATTCTACTCATTAATTATTGATGGTTTCTATTTTGCACACTTATTACCTGTTCCAGCTGTTTCTGAACCATGCTTTGCTGCTCAGTAACATGCTTGAGTTGTTCTGCATCCTCCTCTGGAAACTCACGCCCAGCTTTCTTGGCAGTACGTTGCTTAGCTGAAAGGGCCTTCTTAGATTTTCTGTGTGCACCAATTTGTTCTTCAAGATATTTCTGCTGCATCTGAAGAAGCTGTTGGGTCTCCTGAAGCCATTCTTCATACTGTTTACGTTGTGAGTCATCTAAAGAAATAATTTAAAATTCATCTATGTTAATTTTCTAAAGGTTCCATCCAACACTATAAAAGTTAACACAAATTCATTTTTTAAGGAAATGCAGTTGCACTATAACCTTTGAATAGATAATTTAAAGATACTGTATTAAATATTAGACCAATATGTAACTATAAAGTAGTAGACTTTAAAAAAGTAATTTTGAAAGCCAAAGAATGCATATTCTTAGGACACTTTTTATAAATACTATAATCCAATCTTAGAAAAGCAGAAGACTTTTATCTACTGAAATGTTTTTATCTAATGAACTATCAAACATTCTAACCCATAACCCAAACTATTTATTAAGTTATATCATCATTTTATTAATTCAACTTAACAGATTTTGAAGAGACAATTTTCCTCAACAAAAGTGAGACATATCCTATTAAGGCCCAGAGCATGGATTAAGTAATCATTTCCCATGTTAATTTTCCTTAGTTTATAAGGTTTCCCTACTTCTTTATAGTGAAGAAAGGTTCTAAACAGAAAGAAGACAACCCAAAATGTTTTAGAAAGGATTAATGCTAATTCTACGTTTTATTTAGAGGAAATTCGTTAAGTTGACAACATTTGTAATTTTTATCAATTTTATAATTTATAGTTCTATAAACAAGCAAAGAGAGGTAACAATTTATCAAGTAAAATCTTTTTACTTTTATGACTGTCATTAATATCTACACAGATAGTTATCTCACTTCATCTTGTAACATATTCTTTATTCTGTAAGGGCACTTTATTGCACTGATACCAACTCCAAAAAAAACAACAAAAAAAAAGTCACCTTATGGTAGTGAAATTCTGAATATACCTTTCTGACTCACTAAAGACAGATAAATGAATGAATACAATTCTAAGAAGGACATTAGCTGAAAAATAACATCAATGATAACAGACTATTGTCATACATTAAGAATCCAACCAAAGCCAATGGGCACAATAAAGCCAGAAAAAGCCAGTTGGTTACAGTAGTTTCCTTGTTTTTAATGCAAATATGTATATTCAAATTATAATCAATTAATGCAGGGGGATTTGAAAAGGTCAGACTTTGGGTTTGTTCCTAAACCCAGAAGTTCCAGTATATGTATGAACTTGAAATCTAGTCTACTAAATTTGAAGGGCATTTTTCAAGAACAGGCTTTTTCACAAGATTTCAGAAGTTCTGCTTCTGGTAGAATGAGACCTACCGCAAGGAAAGCCTTTCTGGTTTCTGGAACCAGGAGAGCAGAGGTGAGCAAAATGAAAAATAATGGTGAAAAAGAAGTTAGCTAAACAGTCTGAAGATTTCAGAAAGGTTTAGTTTGGGGAGAACTTTAAATACTATCCTGAACCACCTTGGGACCCCTGAAGATAACTAGAAAAGGACTCAACGGCGCATTGCATACTTGACCTTCACACCACGCTGCTAAACCCAACTTATTTCTAAGCATATTTCCTTTGCTTTTCCCATTTAGGGTCCTTGACACTCTAGGAAGACAGTCTTTAGAGGAAAAAGTGGCCCAATTCTATAGACTGTAAAGTGCCCAATCTATATTCAAAAACAACAGCAACAACAATATTGAAGAGAATTGGGAAGATGAATTTTCTATATTAAAATACTCACTCCTAACTATAATTCTTCATGCACAGCAAAAAAAGCAATGAAAATACATGTCTTGACGAAAAGACAGCCTAACAGGGCAGTGATGTTTGGTAAAGATGAGGGCACACAGGCCTAAAATAACACACCTAAACTGACCCCAAGTTTTTAGAAGAATACAAATATAGTGCAAACAAGCAACCCCAGAAATCATAGAACTTATTAGATTTATACTTACTGACAAAGCCTGGACCAAAATTTGGAGGATTAGGCCTAGAAATCTGATGTGTTATACTGCCATCCTAAAATAAGTAAAATTTATAAATATGTTTATTCCACATTTCAGTTAAAGGGGAAAGATAACTAAAAAAAAATAATGAAAAAAAGAAAGAAGGAAAAAGAAATGGGAGGGGAAAAAACCAAACAAACTTTAATTTCCTACAACTAATCTTTAAAGCTTGGATTTTCATTAAAATGTAGAGTGAATTGGAGTAACAATCTAATTTTTGAAAGTTTATAACTATGTCTGAACTATTACATTTTCTAGGTTTCATATCAATAACAATTATATTTACATGATTATTCATTGGAAATATAATTCCAGGGAAAATTAATTATTGCTAATATTAAGTTAAAGATCCATGTCTCTACTTTTTGATGAAGTCTATCTGGTTTCTCCTGCATTTAGACTCGTTTAAATACAGGTTTTAGATCTTATAAAATTCCACTCTACAGCCCAAAGTTATTTATAACAAGAATCAATTTCTCTTGCACACACAAATTATATAAGAAAAATACACAAATTACAAATATTAGTCTTATTTTCTAATTAAATGTCTTGTTTATTCCAGGGTAATTTGAATAGTTATTAATCTCACAATCCCCTGGCAATAGTCTGTTAAGTTTACCTAGTTGTTACGAGTTCTGTTAGACATGAGCTGTCTATAAGTAATGATTAAAAATGGTAACAGCAGCCAGAATGCACTATGTGCAATCCTTATAATACTGCAAAACAGATGGTGTACTATTTGACAGAGCAAAAAACAGAGGTTAAAGAACTTGGCCAACATCACACATTAAATGAACAGCAGAACTGGGATTTTTTTTAAAAACTTGATTATCAGATGGTATCTCTCTTCTTTTAATAATGAAAAGAATGTAATTATCAGCATAGTAAATCTGAAGTATAACTGACAGAGCAAAAAGGGAAATTCCACAGAGACATACAGTAGGTAGCTTTCTGTTTTTTTCTAGACAGATACTGAAAAAAAATAAATAAATCACTGAAGAAAATACTATATGAAATGAGCAATTCCCTGGACATTGCTTGACACTAAGAACACAGTTTATTTAAATATTTACACTTAAACCGGATTACTATAAATGATGAATATTCAAAAAGCTAAATTATTCCAAAGAATAAATAGTAGAACAGGGCTATCTATGTCTGAAGAAAATGATTATAATCATTATTTTCTGTTTATAACACTTTATGTTTTAAACTTCATGAATAAATTCCACAATTCAGGACATGAAAATGTCTTCCTGAAGTTTAAAAACAAAAACCCAAAACACCCTAAGCAATTAGTTTCCCTCCCAGTTATTTTTTAAATATATAGGTCTTTTCAGAAGCTCTTTTCAATTTTTTAAAACTCTGTCTTCCTTAAAATAAATAAAATAAAACACCCACTTCTGTTGAGTCAATAATATATTTGGCAGTGCTCTAAGCCTACCACCACCTTCTAGAAGTGTGGGGCTTCACTATACACTCAAATTTGGTGAGAACCTCAGAGCATTCTAGAGTGACCAGTTACAAGCAGAATTACCTGAGTCATCGCCTGTGGTATGAGACTCTGGCCTTCACTGTTTTGTGCTCCAGCCACTGGCTGACCCATAAACGGGAACCTGCAAAAAGGAGGCACAAAGTATCAAGTGAGGACCATTTAGAAATTATTTTAAGTGCTTATCAGTTTAGTGTTCCAGGAAAGACAAGACTACTGACAATGGATTCCTTCATCAAAAACATTGACTAAAGCCTCATTTTTTTGTGTAGCAAGCACATTTAATCCTCACTGTACCTCTATGAAGTGTGTATTCTTAGTACTCTCATTTCACTTATGACTAGAGGAAGATTTAGAGAGATTAAGTAACTTTCCCCACAAGGACTAGTGAAGCTGAGAGAAAAAGGCAACTGATTTGACTCCAGAGGTTTTCCTCTGTTATATGCTTCACTGTAGCTCAAAATAAAATTAATTTGAATCTTTAGGATAAAAATATAATGAAAACTTAGGTTTATTACATAAATTCTAAGAAAATTATTTCCTGTTCTTAGATATTTTGTATTTTAAAATAAAGAATTTATCTCAATTAAGAAGCTTCCTATATTTTTGTAGGCTATAGAGCGAATGTTAAAGCAAACAGAACAACCAGTGACTGACCAAGAAAAAGTCTGTATGATTAAAAATATTTGGTAAAATGTTATTTATTCTAATTAAAGTTATAAAAACTTCATAGAAACATCACTGCTTATATAGCAACATTTTCTCTTGAGCTTCCAAACGCTTAAATAGATCAAGACATACACGTGACACAATTTTCAAAATATATTACAAGTACTATACATTAGTATTTAAGTACTACTAGAACTCAGAATATGTACTTCCATCCTCTGCCCTGCTACAGCCCTGGTCTGGAATATCTCTTAATCTAAATACCACTCACTGCCTACAGCTCAGCTGTTAACCAAAAGCTCAGCAACTTGAATCCACCAGCCACTCCTTGCAAACAGTTCTACTCTGTCCTATAGGGTTGGTACAAGTCGGAATCAACTCGATGGTAACTTTTTTTTTTTTAAATCACTTCCACTTCTTCGAAGCACTCAACAAAAGAGTAAACAGTACACCTTACACACAACTAATTTATCAGTATATATCTGATTGGTAGAGATGTAATGCCGAAAGAGCAGGGTTCTAATTCCAAGGTCTGTATTATAAGCTGTTAATAAATGCTGCTCAATAATGAAAATCATCAGAAACCACTTTGATGTCAACAATGCTTCTTAACCATTTCTGAAGTATCTCAACAATAGAGAACCAAAAAAAACTATACCCTTACGGACTTCAAGTTTCTTTGATGCATTATGTTTATTTTAAATTGATGTAGATTGTGTATTACATTTCATAATAGCCTACATTCCTCTTTTTTTTCTTCAGGTTTTCACCCAGATATTAAATTGATGCTTTGCGTTTGCTTCACTGACAGAGGTTCTCCAATAGCAATAGATGTAAGAATTATTCACGGTGCTCACCAAAAATACATACGCACAGACACCATCTCCAGATATTCAGGTCTGCAGTAGAGCAAAGGAACCTGCATTTTTAACAAACCACCACATAATTCTGATGGTGGTCCATGATCAAAATTTGAGAGACACTGCCCTGTAGTATTTAACACCCCTCAAAGGAATAAACACTCTAATTTCAGAAATTCAGATACTCAAGTCATACAGTCCTTCTTAATGCATAATTTCCATTTTTCTGCTAACAGTGGAAAGGTTTACAAACTCTCCAATTCCTAACTTCCAAATGTTCTCTTATCTACTCCTCATTACTTTTTTTTTTCGGATTCAAATACAGTTTGGGGACATTTTATTTTAGAGCTGAATTCACATTCACCTTAATCACCTAGCATCTTTACCGCAATGTTCTGTTTTTTTTTTTTTCCCCTTCATGTTGTTCTTTTTGATGGGGGAAAAAACCTTAAATTTACAGATTCAAATAATCTATCTTCTTTTCTCAATACAAAACAGTTTAATTTCTATTTTCTGCTTATCTTTTTATCTTAATCTATTTAGGATGAAAGATCTTTGTCCCAAGGATCTCTCAGTTAGCATTATCAATTCTAAAGGTATTTAAAAGAGCTCACACTTAAATACTTTTGATTTCCTGATCAACTCAATTTTCTAAACCTTTCTATTAAACTCTATTATGTTTACCATGAAACTAATGAAAATAAACTTATAATTATATAGCATTTTACAACCAATCATAACCCTCAGATACTGCAACCAATAAATATTTACTGTTCATTTGTAGAACATAGGCTTTGAGTTTCTATGTGTTCTTTCTAGGAACTAGGAACAATTTCAAGCACTTCTTGATGTACCGTAAGAATGAGAAACATCTTCACCTACCTGTTCATAACCATGGGTGGCATGCCCATATTGTTTTGTGCCATTACTTTATTTATGCCTTTAAGGGCCACCATTTTGGCTTTCATTATAGGATCTGTAATTGCATCAAAATCTAAAGGAGAAATATATTTTAAAGTTACTTATTTCATAGTACTTGGTTCAAGGTATACTAAGAGGTAATGTAACTATCACAAATATTATGTGATTTATAAACTCTTATTCCTTATTATTTAATAATCTAATGATTACTAAGTTTCAATAATAGGTAACGAATTATGAGGTGGTAAGAACTTCCTCGTGAATTTAATCCCAACTCAGTAATCCATAACTGAAGTATACTTTAATACCTTACCCCTGCAAAAATTAGAACAAGAAGTCTGTCAAATTTAAGGAAGATTATGGCAATAATCTAAAGTAAAACAATTCCCTTTCATGTAAACCTTCATAATGTCAATCAGAACTACTTCTTTAGTAATGTAACATAATGGCTGAGAATCTGTAGTTATTTCCAATACTAGGGAAATAACTACATAATAATATTAGTTATCACTCTTAAAAAGAAAGATGCATCGATTTCTTGAGGTGATAGTCTCACGATACGGACAGCCTACTGAGAAAAGACCTCTTTGTATATAAATGAAAAAGAAATGGACCAATTTGATAAAATTGGTAATGTATATAGAATAGAATGCCAATGTTATTGTTTAGAAAAAACAATACTGTTTAATAGAAACAACAGTACCATTAATAATGGAATTGAATAAAGTCTACAACTCAGTTTTGAACCATTTGATTTACCTGGGAGGAATCTAAAATTATTAATCACTTCCATTTTAAAGCTGAAGGAGGAATATAAATATAAATCTCATTAGTACACTATTCCAAATGTAATTTTAACACTGTAATCTTATAAGCATACTGAAGGCCAGCCTAATACCCCTATTCACAGCTACTGAGACTCAAGTAAAGTCCTACCAATATTAGGGAAGAATGGTTCTGACCGCTGACGGATCATGGCTTGCATTTTTCTTTGCTGCTGCTGTTCTTGCCTCTCTTGATCCAAAAGATCCTGTAGAAGTAGAGGCTGTTCCTCTAGAAGGAGGGGCCTCTCTCTATTCTGCTGGGCTAATGTCTGAGGAATCATTAACTGCTGAGGTCCAGACATGCCACTGGTACTAGACTGACTTGTCAGAGGCACAGTCTGATTTGTAGATTTTCCTGTTCCAAAACTGTGACTTGCTGACTGACCCTGAACAAATCCTGGATTTACTTGCACACCCTGAGAAAAAGTATGGTTTACCCTAGAGACTACTGCCACATTTGAATTCACTGTATTATCCAAAACATGACCAGGCGGTGTCATTAAAGTAGGAGGCAAACTTGACACGTGATTGGATGGTGAGGCTGGCAAACTTGGTGGTGGAGATCCCAATGGCCTAATGTCTGAATTATCTGACTTTTCACTAGCAAGTAAACTTGAGAGAACAGGAGTTGATCCAGTTATGCCACAAGAGCTAATTACATCTTCAGCAGGCAGCAGAGTGGATCCTTGAACACTTATGCTGGAGTCAGCAGTTTCCTGATCAGTTCTTTTCTCAGGCAGATCTGGTTTACAAGGCTGCAAAGAGGCCTTTTCCCCATCATTAAGGTCTGTGTTAGTAGAAGCCTGTGAGCAAGGGATGTCAACAGCACCTTTACCCTCACTTTTCTCAATATCGTATTTGGTTTCCTCTTTAGAATTTGGAGATAGTACTTCTGTTTTTATCTCACTGGAAAAAGTGGATTTTTTCTGTGGAGAATGTTTACCAGAAAGAACCAAAGTTTTGTCTTCTGGCTCCTTTTTTTTTGGTTCAATAGACATACAATGATTATCATCAATTGGAACATTAAGGTCTAGTTCTTCATTAAACATGCTTTTCTTATCTCCTAAGTCAAGTTCTGGATCTGTATATGCAATTATATCAAATTCTCCTGATCTCAAGAGGTCATCCAAGTTGGGGTCATTAGTTTCCAAATTATCTAAAGTATCCAATTCATCTCCCTTGCCATCCTCTGTATCTAGATTTAAATTTTCAAGATCCTCATCATCTAAGTCTTTGACTTCAACTCCCTCGAGGTCTTTGACATCTAGTTCTTTTACAGATGGGTCAATAGAATCAAGTTTTTCTTCAAGACCATCAGAAGACTGGTTGGTTATCTGTAAATTATCAGATGTTGTTTCAGCTGGTGTAGATGTTGACAAAGAAGTCTCTGAAAATTCACCGCCTAAGGGATGACTCAGGGACCTCATGTCCATAGAAGATGAATGGGCAGGGTGACCTTGCTCTTGCTGTGACGGTGGTGCTTGTTCCAAATTTGGATGCACAGGCAGCTGATTAGGTAGACCTTGGGGAGGTCGTCTCATGGGGTCTGTGTGTCTAGGGCCTGGAAAGTCTGGCCGGGGAATGAAGCTTCCATGTCTTGGATGAGAAGGTGCCTCTATAACACTGCTAGCAGGAGCACTAAAGGGCAGCCGTGGCCTTCCATCAGGGGCCCTATGCCTCAATTCAATAAATGCTTGGCCCAGTATGTTATGCTGCTGAACTGGCAGACTCTGTGGTGAAAAATGTTGAGCAAGTCCAACTGGATTAGTCATTTGTGAGTTATTTAAAGGCCTAGGCAAATCTACAGATATGGATCTTCTGAGTTGTGGAGGAACTCCAGATCCTTGTATTTGTTGAGGAGACACAAGGAAGCGCTCTTGACTTGACATGGCACCATGATTACCTCCTGAAAATCCAAATCTAAAAAAAATTCAAACAGTTAATTTTAATATAAAGTATTATGCTCAATTTAGACTTGAGTTGAAGAAAGGAAAACAAGCTTTAGATTAAACTGTAGGCACAAAATTACTGTTGTCAAATACAATGACTAGGCAAAAATGAAATATCATCCTTACAAAGTACCCACGTACAAGTAGATCTGTGCTAAGTACCCTATACGTACACTTATTTGAGGTCCAAAAGCTTACAATCTAATAGATAACAGAAACAAAGACAAATGAACAGTCACCAAGCAGATGGAATCAACTGTTCAAAAATAAGCACAATGCTACAGAAGTCTGTGATTAAGAGTCCATTTCTTTTTTCTATGTTTAGGGAGGCTCCATGGAGGAAGCTGACTTGTGGGGATGTTTGCATGACGGTAGGACTGCCACCAAATTAGACTAGTAGACTTACAGGCCTCAGTACATGAGAAGACAAAAGCATAGGTGCAATGACTGAATAGACTTACTAAACCTACTGGCCTGAAAAGAATGAGAAGGACAGACGGTAGTAAGAGATAAAGGATAGGCATCATCTGCAAAGATTCAGTAAATGAATAAATTATTGGATTGTTTTATTATTTATAGTGTATCTCATTCTAGAAATGATTAAAGGAAACTCACAAAAAAAATACAAAACACAGCAACAGGCATAAAAAGGAGGAAGACAAAGTAAGAGTAGAACATGGAGGTAGGTGTAAGACTAAAAAACATCTATTTTGAAAACTCATCTACTTACTAGAGTTAGGGTTTAAGTTTGGCTTTAACATTTCTACTAGCCACTACAAAAAAGGAAATATGGTCATAATCTATCATCAATGATTTCATAATCGTATCTCATCATGGAAAGTACCTAAGGTAAGACATCCTTTAAATCTGAAAATCTCTACAAATAATTACACTGTAAATTAAAAGAGTGGAAATTTATAACATTAATATTAGGGGAAAGAACATTCCGACCGCCACCCTGTCCCGAGAGGCTTTAACTGTATGTGGTAGTTGCATTCTAGGGATGTGATCTGACTGCTTTGATAAACTATGTTTTTATGGCTGTAATTTGTTAATATAGTTAATTAATAATGAAGAAAATGCTTTTAGAGTTTTTAGAGAGGAAAAAAAATTGTGACCTCCCATTAGTGGAAAATAAAGTTAATTTTATCTCAAAAGTTACTAAGAGGTAGAAACAGAGTTAATTTCTTACAACTTCTTGACTAACACTAATTTTATTCAGCTGTGCTCTTCTTATAATAAGAATTTAAATCTGGCTGGAAATTAAAAGCATTACCTAAATCCATGAGGTCGCATCCCCATACTAGCGACATCAGGAGGACAGGGCCCACGCTGATCTTTTGGGAAAACAGCGTATCTAGGCCGCAGAGGAGGTATAACAGGAGATCTAATGTTCCCAGGATAGGGAGGAGGAGGTCTGGTGAAAGCCTGATTGATATTCTCTGGTTGCCAGTGCTGAAGTGGCCCTGGATGAGGCACTACTGGTGAATCCCGTGACCCCTTCTCCTGCCGACCAGCAATCTTCTTCTGCTGCTGCTGCTGGAGAATGATCTCACGTAACTTTTGCCGCTGAATGGGAAGAAAAAAAAAAAAAAAAAATCACTGAGATTTCCGAAAATGGTTTTTTAATGGTTAATGGCTTTTTAAATTGTAATACTTTTGCTAGCACCTCTGGTGGTGCAACGGTTAAGCACTCAGCTGCTAACCTAGAGGTTGGTGGTTTGAACCTACCCATCAGCTCCACAGGAGAAAGATGTGGCAATCTGCTTCAATAAAGATTACAGTCAAGAAAACCTTACTGACGCAGTTCTACTCTGTCACATGGGGTCGTTATGAGTTGGAATCAACTTGGCAGTACCGCACAACAATCCTTCACTATGTGATGCTCAAAGTATCTAAATGTTTCAAAGCTTGATAAAACACTAGTTACAGTTAACTATTCAATAGATAATCAAAAATAAATTGATGGTTTGGGTCCTTTTTCTTTCCTGACAACAAAATTGAAAGCTTTCAGTGTAAGGATTTCCATATACATTTATTAAAATTGAAATTAGAAACAGAATAAATCTAGTTCAATTGGTGTTAATTTTACCAATTTCAACTTTCTTGCAGTATGATGAAATTCTATAGAAAAGAAAAGAAACTTTATCACCTCTGTAGAAATTACTGAAGTTTGATGAAATGAGTAGCTTTAACTGTGTAACACACTTAAAGCATCTGAGAACATACGTGTTTACCTGTCTCAATTTCTCTGCGTCTGCTTGAGACATATTGATGGTATTCTGCGTATCAGTTACTCCTGAAGTCGGTACAGGTCCAGGAATTTGGGAGACACTGGAAAATGGCTGACCTTGGGAATTCAGTGGAGAGTTTGAAGATGCACTAAAGTTCCCCTCTGAACCAGGCCTTGGATGGTCAGTGACATCATGAGCAACCTGACTTGTTCCATAAGAGTCTGACTGAGATCTTGGAGTCATTGGAGACTGATCATAGGGATCACGGGCAGCAGATGGGGAAACACGGCTAAATGTGTCTGAAAGACCAGGTCCAGGTGGCCTGGGTGTTTGGGAACATATATCAGGTGGCCTTACCAAAGGGCCAGACAAAGCTGGTCCTCGATTTTGTGCTGCCTGTAGGAAAATATCCTGATTTGGCATGAGGACTGGTCTTGTCATTGAGGACCTAGTAAAACCCTCTGAAATCCTTGGCCTTGGTGTTGCTGGTGGCTGAGAGTAAGAAGCAGAAATTCCAGGTCTTGGTGTCCCAGGAGGATGAGCATATGGATCAGAATGCCTCTGAGTAGTTGCAGATGTAGCAAACAAGTCTGTTTGCGTAGATGGCCTTGGGGTTTGTGGCTGCTGACTATATGGATCAACAGTGGTGGGCCGGGGAGTTCCAGGAGGTTGAGAATAAGGGTCCGGATTGGATCGAGCTGTTCCTGAGGGTTGGGAATAAGACTCTACAACAGGTCGTGGTGTTCCTGGGGGTTGGGAATATGGGTCCTGAGATATTTGTCTTGATATGGTTCCAGACTGAGAGAAAGCCCTTGAAGGATGAGCAAAAGATTCATTCATTGCCGGATGTGGAGTGAGGGGAGGCTGGCTATATGGATCACTGGGTTGACTATGGGAAAAATTATCTATAGGTCTTGGTGTCAAAGCGGGCCGTTCGTAAGGGTCAATAGACATTCGTCTTGGTGCCTGTGACACTGCTCCATAAGGATCCTGGGAGGATGGAGGGGGCTGCATTGGAGTCTTAAAGGGTCCAGGACCACTTTCGAGAGGGGCAGATGTCAACAAAGGTCGTGCATATGGGTCAGAGATTCGTGGTCGCTGAAACACATCTGCCCTAGGAGATGGTTTAGTAAAGGGATCACTGGTTCCAGACGTTAGAGGACCTTTTGCAGTTTGTTCTGAAACTATAGGAGATCTAGGTAGGCCCACGGGTTTGGGAAATTGATCTGCCATCACAGGTCTAGGCGTGTCTGGAGGCTTTGCATAGGGGTCACTATTTGTCGTGGAGGAAGAACACAAATCTCTGACTGGTGATGGCCTATTTGCTGTTGTTTCACTTATCTGAATGGGCCTAGGTACTGATGATAACGGTGTGCAGTTTTCCACCGGTGTAATAGAATTTCTTCTGGAAAAACTATGGCCCCCTGGAGGTGGTCTAGGGGTACCAACCATTTTGGCATAAGGATCCACTGGAGATGGTGGTCGAGAGTTAGAAGATCCAGGTGAAAACATCTGTGGTGAAGATGGTTGAGAATTCTGAGACTGAGAAACATTCTCCTGAATGGGAATCCGGGATGGAGTTGGAGGAGGAGGTGGAGCTTGTGGTTTTACAAACACATCATCTGACGATGAAGAAGTAGGGGTACTAGCTAGTTGTTTTGTAAACAGGTCTTTATGGAATGACTGTGCAGGAGACATATTTCCATTGCCAGGCTGAGGTGTCAAGGGACTCTGGATCCCACTGCTTGGTGTATCTGAACCAGACTGCGTCAGAAGATGCTGAGAACCAAACTGCTGTTGCTGCTGTTGCTGTTGCTGCTGTTCATTCTTCACCTGCTCAAGTTTCTGTGTGGCTTCAATTTTAGCTTGCTGCTTACTTTTCTGACGCATTTGCTGTTGAAATAAGAAAGAAAAAGAAATCATATAATTAAGGAAGAAAATAATCAACATGAAAAAAGAAAAAAAAAGCAAGAGAAAAATAATTAGTTTGATGTTAGCAGCTACCAGATTGCTCTCTTATTAGACTACATATTCCCAAAAAAGAGAGACTATTATTCATCATAGTAGGCACCATTATGCCTAGGGCATTATATTGTTCATGGTATTTCAATAAACTTCTGAATCTACTTAAAATATTTTACTGAGAAAGGCAACAAATCTATGTTTAATCATATTTTCTTGCTGTACAAGAACCATATTCTTAATGACATGATAGTTCTCTTCTCAAAAAAGCAAATATGCAACTAAAAAAAGCAAATTATCCAAAAAACCTCATACCTGTCTAAATTTCCATTCCTGTTCATGTTCCGATTCTCTTTGCTTTAATGGATCTTTAAAAAGATCTGAATCAATACGAGAGCTGGGATCGATGTTATCTTGCTGTTGTTGCCTTTTCATGGAATCACTTGACATCTGTACTTTATTAATGCGTAAAGCAGCTCGGTTATCTCTGGCTTTTTGCTTTGGAAAAAAAGAGAAAAGAAATTACCCTCCAGTAGGCAATAATATGTTTTAAGACACAAAAAATTTCTAGTAAATTTTATCACACAAAAGCAAGAAAAAGTTGTGTTAAACAGTTGAGATATTATCCTTAGATCTTAAAGCCTTTTCTGTGAAAGGAATCTGGACACTAAAAAACCCATTACTGTTGAGTTGATTCTGACTCATAGCTACCCTATAGGACAGAGTAGGACTGCCCCATAGGGTTTCCAAGGAGCAGCTGATGGATTCAAACTACTGACCTTGAGGTTAACAGCCGAGCTCTTTAACCACTGTGCCACCAGAACTCCATCTGGACACTAACCCATCTTTTTCACAGAGCATGTTACCTATCAGTAGAGGGCACGTTTCCATCTATGTATCTGAACCAGGCTGAGAGATCCCAGGTATAACCTAGTAATTTTACCCTAATTTTCTGAAAAGACACTTATAAAATGGAAGAATTAATAACTCCTTCGATTTGGAGAAAAGGAAAATAACAAACCCATTGTCCAAATCTAAAATCTGGAAATGTAAACCTTACCGCTAAACAAAATTGTTTAGAAACATTAAAAATAGCCTGTCATTACCTTACTAAAGTCAAGGCAGAACAACATAAAGCATATCAACATCTTAAAAAAAAAATGATGCTATATTCAAGCAGTCTTTATCACTGAAGATATGTGCACTGAAAATAAAGTTGGAAAATAACTGCATATATTTTTCAAAACAATAATGAAGATTTAATGTGCTTTAATCTGAAAGCAAGGTTTGACTCCAATTGACAATCTTAATTTGGCTCTTTGGGAGAAAACAATTCACCATCTGAACTGTGAATCTTATAAAATTCCCTAATAATTTCTAGCAAAGATCATGTTTTAAAATCTCCTTAAAAGTGTCTAGGTATGTCTTTTCTTGATGCATAAAGATTATTGAATCTAGGAAGAAAAAGAGATTATGAAAGAAATTAAGGCACACTAATTCAGCCTCCAAGTTTAGTGTTCTTTTGGGAAGATAAACAATTATAAAGGGAAATAAATTAAACATGCAACTAAAATAGCTGATTTTCAATCCTCAACATCCTCATTCTGTTAACGCACTTAAAAAATGTCATGCTCTATAGTAAGATGTAATTACTTAGGAAATAATTATGAAAGCCAAGCTGTTTGTTAGTTGTCCAAATATTAACATGTATTTTCTGCAATACAGAATCTTTTTATTAGCCTAAGACAATAAAAATAAGGTTCAGATATTGTGTTTGAAGATATAGATACATAAGACTTTTTTAAATACCACATATGGTGCTCTTTCCTGTGAGCTTGCTTTTCTCCACAATTTAGCAATCTGCTTCACTCTGGTAGTCCAGTCTACAACAAAGAACACAGTATACACTTACAGAACCCAGCAATGATGTGTAATCAGAAAAAAACTGTGGATGAATTGTGCACAGTTACCTTATTCAGGCTGTATTTTCATAAATGAGTAGCCCTGTATGATGTTCTTGGCACAGTACAAAGTTTCTGGCATACAGTACGGCCAAAAAACTATTTTCTGAATGAAGTACTGCCTTATTAATAACCTGGCTTGTAGAGTTGAGAAATTTTTAATTCCAAGAGGCGTCAAAGTATATCAAAGCCAAGTATAATAAATTACCCAGGTCCTGTATGACATTACCAGAACCAAAGCCAAAGGTTTTATAAATGTCTAAACTAACAGAATTCTATCAATGTGACCAAAAGGAAGTAATGATAATTATGAATAAGCATCTTGTGTGTACAACAAGCACATGGAAAAGTCAAGATTTCAAGCAATTTCCATGAAATTCAGTGTCATAACAGTATACAAAACAAAGTTTAGTTGAGATTAACAGTTAAGGATAAATGTAGAAGAGATTTATTCCATACAGAAAAAAAAAAAGGCCAGTGAAAACAAAAATTAGCTGACAGACCAACAGCTTTAGCACAATATTTCATGAGGTTCTAGAATCGCACTGTAAAATTAAATCACGTAAAAAAAAAAAAAAATTGTAGCTCTGCTGTAAGAACAATGTACATTGACACAAAGTGACTTTAAGATAACCAAATATGCTCATCTATAAACAGCAAATAAAAAGTGACTGGCACAAAAGTAGTCAAAGAATGTGAATATTGCTTCAACAGACATTCCTGCACCAAACCACTGATTCCTACTGTTAGATAAGGAATCATCTGATTTATTTCCATATATACGAAATCAAGTACCACAAGGAGACCATACAAAAAATGTACCTAAAAGACAAGGTCATACATAAAAAAATCCACTTCTGGCTACCCTACTAGTAATTTAACGGAGCTTCTGTGCTGACAGGCAGCTGGGAAACTACTGTAAGACAGTTTGAATGACCTTTTTAATCCTGGTTTGTCTTGCAACTTGAACTCAAAATAAAAAAACAGCACTGGCTTGCAAAGATTTATAACTGACATTTCAAAATCCAAATGTTTCATCCTCTGGTTAATCAGAATTTTCAGATACATCCATCTGCTTTTTCAAACAGGTAATGGTAATGGATGGAGAGTAGGAGAACGGTAAGGAGAAAAGAAGGGAAGACAGCAATGAGTTAATTTCAATGTCAACAACACTACTCAGAACTGACTCAGATTTAGCCTAACTTAATACTTTTGATTAACTGATACTTTATGTTTCAGGAATTTTTTTGTAGAATTATACCCATATAACACAACACTGACTTCCATATATTTATAAGCATTACTAGGAGCTGGAAAACTCATCATTTCACTAATTGAAATTACTTTGGAAAAATATACAAATGGATACAGGGTCTAGGGCTAAGAAAATGCAAGATGTTTCTAGACAGGGAATCGTCACACTGGGCATAGTCACACTAGATGAAAATTAGTGATGAGAGGGCTTTCTGTTACAGTTTAAAAACAAGTCATTATACATACATGAGAGAAAGTTGATAAAATAGCAATAAAACACCCACAACGTACCTGGGAAATCTTCCTTTAAGTTAGGAAAATTAATGTTTGTGTAGAGAACTGGTGCCACTGTTGCCATCTCACCCAAAGCCTCTTCTTTCTCCCACTTAAGTGTACTTCTCTGGGTATTTGACATTGTATCATTTTCTCCTTCCATAGTGGGAGCCGATGATGTCCAAGAGCTATTAGGATCACTCACCATTGGATTAAATGCTGGATTTTTATCCCTGGCAAATAATAAAGAACTTAGCTTCATAACCATAAAATAACTTTTCAAAACTATGGTCAGATACAACTTTCATTAAACCCAAAAAGCTAAAAAGTAACATGTTTGATGATTTTTTGCAAAAGTCTGAATAAATATAACACACACTAATACTGTGCACAATAATTTAAACAGACTAATTTATTTAGACATATAACAAAAATTGTTGTAATTTAAAAGTTTCCATAGAAGGTGAAGGCTTTTAAGTACCTGGCATCAGTGTAAGGGGGTTGTGCTATAGCAGAGAAAGTTCCCAATCCACTTCCAGGAGGCAACGAATTATGTGGGAGATGCGGACTGGGTCCAATAAGGCCATTCATGAGTGGTATCCGTGAAAAAACATCTTAAGAAAAGAAAAAACATAATTTGGGTAAAATGGTTGAATACTATTCATAAAAAGAAAAAGCAGCTGACATATTTCTAAATAAAAACTTCTAACGCTACTTAAAAGTAGAATTTTTTCAAAATTATATTGTAAAATATTACTTTAAGAGTGACTTTTGGTTATAAAATGCAGAAATATGACCTCTATCATTGTGTTTAAGGAGCCCTGGTGGAGCAGTGGTTAAGCACTCGGCTGTTAAACCAAAGGTTGGTGGTTTGAACCCACCAGCTGCTCCGCAGGAGAAAGATGTGGCAGTCTGCTTCTGTAACATTATATTCTTGGAAATCCTATGGGGTAGAGTCTACCCTGTCCTACCAGGTCGCTATGAGTCAGAATCGACTCAACAGCAATGGGTTTATCACCATGTTTACTTCATCATGGTGTACTGGAAATAGCATGCGTTTTGGAATCTGAAGCAGAATTTCTATTTCTGAAAATGAAGATATTCTGTTATATGGATTGAGATAATGTATATACAGCTCACAGCATAGAGAGCTGGCATACAGTAACTACTCAATATATATTAGCTCTACAAAAAGAATGAATCATAGCAAATGGAAGTAAGTCTATCAAATATTTTCTTTTCCATTTAAAATTTATAGATGCTTCTTATACTTTATTTCTATTTCTGTTAATACAAAAAAACCAGTTATGATTAAATCAGCACTTTCTCTAAGATCGTTTAGAAAGAGCAATATTATATCTATCATTATCAATTAGACGATTATTATTAAAAATACATACATTCTGATTTTGGCCCATGTGGTGCAATGTGTTTCTCTTTATAGATGGCCTTTCCTGCCTTGGGTTTACAGTCTGCCACTGATAACTGATAAGTCCAAAGCTTGGCCTGTGAATGGTCTATTTTACCCACCTTGCAGGGACTGGTCAATATACTATGCAAATAAGGTGCATAAAACCCTTGCAGGGATTGGTCAATTACTATCCAAATGAGGTGAGCGTGGCCTAAAAGGGCCAATCCCACAAAGGTTGAGAGGGACCTCACTACCATCAAGAAGAGGAGCCTGGAGCAGAGTACCTCCTTTGGACCTGGGGTCCTTGTGCTGAGAACCTCCTAGGCCCAGGAGATAGAGCTGTAACACTGGAGATGGCGAGAGACAGCGTGAAATGGGTGCAGAAGCACGAGTGGCAGAAAGCAGGAGACTGGCAAGAAGTGGCTGCAGTGGACTTCCTGGACCACGGAGCTAGGCAGCTGCAATGTGCTTGTCAGCCCATGAGGGAGAAAGCTGACTTCAGGGAGGAGGCTTGCTGACAGAGCAGGGTGCCTCTGGGCACTTGTTGGTGAAGCCAAAAGAGCTGTAACACTGCTAGCAGGGCAGAGGCCAGGCTGAGAGAAGGCTTGCCTACCTGTGGACACAACTGAGAAGAAGCTGAGAGCTGTCCTGATTGACAAACTGTACCCTGTCTCCTGTTACTTCCAAGTTGATCCTGATCCCGAGATGCAGCCTGTTACACATAGCCTAATAAGCCACATAATTGTTGAGTATGGTCTGTGAGTTCTGTGTGGACACTGCAATGAATTATCAAACCCAGCAAAGAAGTAGAGTGCTGTGGGGAGGACTGCTGGTGTCAGAAATGGTGAAAAAGTTGGAGAGTGGAGGTATGTCTGATCTCCACCTCACAGTAATCAGCTTTGTGCTAATTTTGATTCTCCATTCTTCCTCTTGAATTTAGATGGCTTCTGATGCTAGTAGTACTAGATTACAGCCTTATTTTTCACTACTTGCAGTTTCAACCCTCAAATGCATTTCAACTCTCATTCCAGCTTATTCGCATGCTTCAAGAGCCTATCATTACTTCCCAAATAGACATCAGGCAAAGCATAAGGCCACCTTGTTGTTTCCCCATAATTCTTCCCAAGTCTATGATTTTAACCCTCATTGTGATCTTCTACTCTTCTCAACTATTTGGAAACAAGTCAACTGTCTTTATCTGAGAAGTTTTCCAGCAAAAATATTTTTCTTCATGTACCTTCAAAAAGCCCTCCCAATTAAACATGATGATTTGTAGAGACATATTCTAAAGTGAAAAAATACACGACTTCTGTTAATTGTTGTTAACACTCAGAACAATACTATTACAGGGCGCCACACCACATCACCAGTTTATTATATAAACAGATTTGTAGCTTTAGAGTTGGCTAATACTTTTGACCCAAGCCATAGTATTTTCAATCACCACATATGCATATGAAAGCTGGACAATGAATAAGGAAGACCGAAGAATTGTTGTCTTTGAATTATGGTGTTGGTGAAGAATATTAAATATATCATGAACTGCCAGAAGAACAAACAAATCTGTCTTTTAAGAAGTACAGCCAGAATGCTCCTTAGAAGCGAGGATGGCAAGACTTTGTTTCATGTACTTTGGCCACGTTATCAGCAGGAATCAGTCCCTGGAGAAGGACATCATGGTTGGTGAAGTAGAGAGTCAATGAAAGAGAGGAAGACCCTCAATGAGATGGATTGACACAGTGGCTGCAACAATGGACTCAAATACAGCAACAATTGTGAGGATGGTGCATGACCTGGCAGTGTTTCATTCTGTTATACATGGGGTCGCTATAAGTTGGAACCAATTTGATGGCCCCTAACAACACCACTTGGGACATGTGGGATGATGATAGAGAACTCATAACCTGAGCACTCTGCCATGCCATTGGATAAAAAGCAAAACCAACACCAATGTTTTATATACATAATGCTTTACATTGTGTAATGTTCCTTCACCTAAACCAGATCATCTGAATGTTACAACACTAAGGGCATAATTAGCTCCCATGTATATGTGAGAAAACTAAGGCTGATCACTGACAAATTTTCAAGATTTTGTCTCAAGGACTACTAGAGCTATTTGACTTTCAGGTTAGGGCTTAGCCTACTAAATAGCAGAGCTGGGCCCACTGCATCAGGGCTCCACAATGACAAAGGGTCTTAGGATAATTAAGCTTACTTCAAAGATCAAGGTAGGACGCTATATCAATTTTCAACTACAGTGAAAAGTAGGCCCCATTAAAGCAGCTAAGATTTTATTGAAAAATATCAAGTCTCTTCATGTAATAAGGATAAACAAAAGCTGCGTTATTGGTAATGAGGATGCTATCCATCGTGTAGCCATCTATCAGCCTGATCTATTATAACCATATTATGACCATATTAAAATCTCTCATAAAAATAGGTAGCACTTATTAAGCACTTACTAAGTGCCAAACACTGTTCTAAAAGCTTTATGGGTATTAACTCACTGTGTCCTCAAAACAGCCATATGACATAGGTTATTACGAGAGTCTCATGGCCAAAAAGACCCAGAGAAATTGGCTAACTCGTTCAAGGACACATAACCAAATGCAAACCATTTTTTCCTTATTATTTTAATAAAGATGTGGTCTTTTTTTCCTCAAGTCTTCCACATCTGGCCAATCTGGTCATATTAGCTAACAAACATAACCTTTTTCAAGGCATGAATCATGTTAAGAGTTGCAAAGTTACTTTGCTCAAATTTCTCTTTTAAAGTTATTATTTTTCAGTTTTCTTGAAATTTCCCTTCTCTGCTTTCTGACCTTCCATATTACTGTCAACACATTACTATCTGCCATCCTTTCTTATCACTCCTGCTGAAAATGACCAGCGATGTTCTCATGATCCAATGAAACCATGTCTTCAAGTTCTCATCCTATTTAACTTTATACTGTCTCTAATGATCATCTTTTTCACCTACCCTTAAAAGGGGAAATAAAAAGAACATGTAATTGCACACCTAATATAAACTAAATGAGTTAAGCATATGCCTCATTACATTTAATTAAAAAGGAGAGCTCCTCAAGATTTTATAGTATCTTAAGAAATCTCATCCTTCCCACAATTTCAATTAGCACCACTAGACAGGTAATTCTGCAATCCTCATCTATAGTTTTGAACAATTTCAACTGTCTAAAACAAAATTCCAGGATCCCTGGTGGCGCAGTGGTTAAGCACTCAGCTGCTGACCAAAAGGTTGGCAGTTTGAACCCACCAGCCGCTCTGCAGGAGAATGATGTGGCAATCTGCTTCCATAAAGATTTGCAGCCTTGGAAACTCTATGGGGCAGTTCTACTCTGTCTTATAGGGTCACTATGAGTCAGAATTGACTCAATGGCAGTGGGTTTGGTTTGGTTTTACAACAAAATTCATTACACCTCCACTACAACACATACACACTAGCGTTAAGTCTTCCTTTGTTCCATGTTTCCAATTAACAGTATGATTATCTTCCAGGTCAGCCTGGCTTACAGTCTAATTCATTTTATCTCCCCCTTTTACTCACACCTAACATCCATTCCATAGCATAATACAACTTACTCTAACTTCACTACTTCTCCGATGCATTCCTTCTTTTTGATTAGCATTGCAGATATCTTTATCAAGAATCTCAAATTTTCACTTAGTCTATACTGCAATAAACTCATTAGTACTATTCTTTTTGTCTCAAATTCACTTCTGACACTGACACCACAGCTACCTTTTCAAGTCATGTAACTAACCAGGTCATTCCATGGTGTGACATCTTCATCTGCTCTCTGAAGCCTGGAGAGAAAAGGCCACCTGCTGCTGCCTATTTTTATAGGCCTCTGCAACCTAGCTCCTCATCTGCTGTGGAAAACGGGAAAGCTGCCATTCTTGAACATCCATGTGTCATCCTTTACGTCAGCTTATCATCCTTTATCCTTAAATTAGAACTATTATTCTTTCAAACATGAACGTTGACTCTTAAGGCTCTACATAATTATATTCTACTATAATATAAATTAGTTGTAAGACTACAATACTAAGACTATAAACTCCTGAGGGTAGGAAGCCTTACTCACCTTTGTATGACACATAAGCACCTAGCCAAAAAAAAAAGTCACCTCTGGAAAACCTTTTAAAAATTAGACTGCCCACTGGAATGATTTTCACAAT